ATTTTCGGCCAATTTTTAAATTAGTAAAATTTTGCGTTGAAAATTCTTTAAAAATCGAACATTCTGATTCAGAATATCTTTCATAAATCATAAGTTCCTACAAATGTATCCAAATATTTAAACTCACAGAGTTTCTTAAAGTCAGACAATTACGATAACCTTGTTAAATTAACTGGTAATTCAAAACTGAATTATGGAAAGGGATATCCGTGCACGTTTGCTGATTAAATTGAGTTTGGCCCGGGAAAATTACAGACTTCAGCCTCAACTCTTTCTTCGGAACATCAACGCTAACGAGGCATCGGCTCATATTACCCGGCCCGGTGCTGCGTGGGTGGGTCCTTGGTCCTTGGTCCTGTCACACGCACTGACAGCTGACTTTCCAACTGCGATACAAAGGACGCAATCAATTGCAACTTTAAGTACTCACAATAAGTGTTGCCAAGGGCTTTTGCAATCAATGCAAATGGAACGGATTGAGGGTATATGTTTGCAGATGCATATATTTTCCGTATATTTTCCCAGGTCATGTCGTTTCGGGGCTTTATGCTTTATGAATAGCAAATGAAGGTTGCAATTCGTTTGGATATCGTTAAAAATGATGGAAAATCAAAGTATACGTGCATGAGGCATCGGATTTTATTCCAAAGAGAGAATAAAGAATCTGAAAAATATATTCCGAATAAGCCTTCCGAATTTTAAGTCTATGATTTCATGGATGGTAGTAAATCAAAAGAATTATTATTAATGACTTGTCTTGAACTGAAATTTTACGTATATAGCTGGCCTGTGTACTTAATTTATTACATTAAATATGAATGAAAGAGCATGTATTCATTTATCAGTGTTTGTGTATTAAACATTAATAGTTTAACCCGAAGTAAAAGGTCCTATCTTCTTGTCTAAGAAATCCAACCATCTCTGGAAGTTAGAGTTTTATTTTCACCTTTCCAACTTTGTAAAAATCAAGTGTGCTGCACTCTAAAAAGTCTGTTGCACCTCTCCCCTGGGACGGTGAAAGTTTATAGCAATTTTGAGTACCTATCACATGTTGTTTACCTCAGGCAGCCACTCGCTGTGTCGCATCATCACGGAAATGAACTTTGTCGCAGCGGGCATCCCCCCGTGGATGTGACTGGAGATTCCGTGGATGTGACTGCCGTCAAATGTTGCGCCCTGGGGAGGCTTCTGTGCCCCAGCACGAGGCCAAATCCAGACACACTGGCAGTGGCAATGGAACTGGCAGTTGAGAAGCAACCACAGCTAAATTGCTGGCTGGCTGGATGGCTGACTGGCTGGCTGGCAGGTATCCTGCTGTCTATCTGGCTGTCAATATCACACAAAAAGGATCAGCGGCACTATGAAGCCATCAAGCTGACAGTGGAAATATTTTAAGGAAAATATAATTTAAACCAACTTTGACAGGGATGGACAGGGCAGGTAGGCGAAAAGGGGTTTTTAGTTGCCTGGCAGGACTTGGCCGTAGATTGGATTGTTAGCCGGTCCTGACAGGTTTCCTAGATATATCCTGCGGTCGGAGCAATCCAATTAGGCCAGTCCAATATTTGCGAGTATGTGTGGGTGGAACAGCAGCAGGATTTAAACCATTTAGTATTAGTTCTGGTTAAAAATAAACCGTTCTCCACTGAGAGAATACTATTTGAAGTCTTTTATGAAAAATTTATGCCTCAAATAACTTTGAACTTAAAACTTTTACGGAATAATAATCTTCAAATAAGAATCCATGCACACGTGATACTATATCCTTTTTCAGTGCATCCTTGCCGTGGGCCAATTCGTGAAAGATATTCAAAAATACACACACGTTCCGAATTTGCAGGCATGCTAACGGTATAAAAATCGATAGAATGTAACGAGCCAGTGGGCGGGTGTGGGTGTGCTCATGGGAGTGGGTGTGGGTGGGTTACACAGTTCACCTTGGCCAGACCCAGACCCAAAGGCGCAGCGTGATATTTTACAAGTGTTGTTTTTGTTTCTCTGTATTTTCTTTGGTGATGGAAGAGCTGGTGGTGGTGGAAGTGATGGTGCTGGTGGTTGCAGTGGTGGCGGTTGGTGGTGTCTTTTTTACGGCTCGCTTACATCCAAGCAGATGCCAGACTAACCCGTCATCTAATTGCCAAAAGGCGTACCCATCATGCCCCGGAATGAGTTCACTTGTAACGGCATGACCGAATCCTTAATTGAAAGTAAACATTAAGGTACACAATTAAATATGCTGCAGTCTGGCTTATTATTTTTTTCTGCCCTGTTTGTTTACAGCTTTGAAGTTTATTTTATCCTCGTTATTTTTGTATTGCCCCAAAGGCCCTCGAGAGCATCTTTTGAGAGTGGGAGAAGGCGCAGGACTCCCGGGCAGACCTTTAGTCACCTTTCGGTGTCGAATTCCAATTGTTTGCCGTGGCTGGCTAAGAATTAATTAATCGCTTAGCTGGCTCCATTTCGCAAAATGACAAATGATGGAGCATCTCCTGGGTCAAACAATTAGCTCTAAATTAAAATTGAATTAGTCCCAACTGCGGCGCAAATCGACAGAGAATAAAGCCTTATCTCTACAGTACAGATCGCCGAAACAAATAGAGCAGCTATTATGGCATTATTTATTACTACACCTTTTTCTGTAGTTCAAGTTCCTGGAGTCGTACTGTATTTTTATATATAGGGCCACCATTACTGGGTATATTTTTTTGTTTTTGGCTTGAACGCCCTGACTGTGCTAAAAACGAGGCTTTTTTGTTTGGTCTTTTGTGGGGGCGCCCGACGAGGTGGTTTTCTTTCTTTTCTTGGAGTCCGCAGGCTTGCGTGCCTTGTAGACATTTTTCTCGGCCCGCTGCTGGTTGGGCTAACGCGGTGCGTACGTACCAGGTAACCTTGTTTCCAACCACTCTCGGGCCTAGTGGGTGGGCCACGGGGCACAGTACGTTGGCCCGACTCAGCCACGCGGCAAATGGTTGTGCTATATAATTTGGCCCCAGCACATAGTGTTGTTATATTTAAGCCGCCGCACAAACATCCGCAGCAGGCACACCCACCCATTGCCACTCCCACGCCTCCGGCACACAGGCAAACGAGGCACACCTTGATTTACCTTTGAGAAGAAGCCTGGCCCTCCTGCCATCTGCCTCCTGCCACTTTGCTGGCTTATTTTCCAATTTTCTGGGCTCAATATCGATTGCTGCATTAAAAGTTTCCTACTTCACCCTCAAAAGTGTGTAAGAAGCGGCTCACTGAACTGCCAAAAAAGAGTAGCCTACCTCAAGGCGGTTCCCAGGCTCAAAATCTTGTAAAGTTTAATTGAACACATTTTGTGGAATAAAACTGCACCTCCATTTACACACTTCTATGCTTTTATGCTTTCTCTTAAAAAGTCTACAAATCTTAAGAATCGCATCCTATTAAAGCTGCAAAAATCAGCTGCAAAAATTTGCACTTTTAATGACTTTTACGTGGCTGGATTTAGCAACTTTGTGATTTCTGATTCGGGGAGAGTCACTCAAAGTTTGTGAAATAACAAACTTTAAATGCAAAGCAAAAAGTTTGAATCGAAACTAAACTCAGAAGGAAGGGGAGGAGAGTACTGGTAATCATTTCCATGGACTATAGTTCGATAATCGATCAATAAAACTGTCATAACCTTGACACGACTTTCAGTTCAGTTGCCTGCTCCAATTTGTGCTGGGAAATGAAAAATGCAAAAGTAAATTGAGTAATGTAATCAAAAACAAAAAGGAAACAGGATAACGTTAGTGCACATCCCGGAGGATTTCTTACAAATTAAAAAGGAGCGCTCCTGCCCTAATCACCTATAAAGTTCTGTCGGGCGAGCGGTGAATAAATTGTAACTTTTTCTTCATCGTGGAAGTTTTTGTATAACAACCAGCCATGAAAAGTGACACAAAAAAGAGTTGTCACAAAAGGTGAAGCGAGAAACTTTGTAATATTCTGGCTCAGATTCAGGGTGCCAGGTTGGGCCTTGGTTTTAAGGTCTTAACATAATTTCGTGGCCTTTTGAGCCCGAGAGCACAAGTTAAGGCTCCTTGATAAATTGCAGAGTGTGCCTGTCAAGTGATAAATGACAAAGAAATTGGCAAATTGTGACCAACAATATCTCCAACAAAAGGCGGCTGGTCCCGGGGAAGAGGGTGGACATCTCTGCATTGCAGTCCAGTTCTGATTCTAGCCCTAGACCCAGATATTAATCAGTGTCTACTAGACGTGAGACTGTGTTTTCGGGGTGTGCTGTTTATTGTTCGGTCAATTGCAGAAATTAACAATGAAAGTGCTGCGATTGCTGGCCAGGGAATTGTTTGTTGTAAAATAATTACTTCTACTTCTTTGTAGCAAAGAAACCTCTAGCACGTTAGCCTTATATAAGCCCCGAAATGTATGCTAAAAAAACGCACAAAAAACAGGCATTGAGAAAAACAGAAAAGCACGCAATGACAAAGCCAAAAGCAGAGAAAGAAGAAGGCAAAGAGAACCCGACAGGTGAGAGTGGCCGAAGGAAATTGATTTTCTTCGCACGGCGCGAATAGAATTTTATTCAAATGTGCTCAACTGGGCGAGAGTAATGGGCATGGGAAAAAAGCCAGCAGGATGGGTCGGTGCTTAGATGGAGCTGGAGAGGCAGGAGCCACCGCTGCCAATTGGCCGGATGCTTCGGATGGTGGCGCAGGCGCCTGCGCAAACATATCCTGCGCCGTGGAAAGCCCACACACACATACGATGAGGAAGGTGGGGAGCATTCGGCATTCCAGGCTGAATACCGACAAAACAGCATTTGCTGAGGGCTTGCTGCTTGCTGCTTTCTGGCCAGACAGAAGTTACCTTTGCTCCTGCCCGGACGACAGAACGCACGCTGCTGCCGCGTCCGCTGGATCTGGGATCTGGGAACTGGGAGAACTGGTTTATTGCTTTGCTGTGAACACCAACGGAAGACCCTAAAACGAATCCGTATCCGCGAGTCCTTGAAGAAACGGTGACAATATTGCAGCGGTGTTGAACGCGGTGAACGGGTAGAGTGTCAGTGTGTTCGGTGTGAAAAAAAGGGTTTGAGAGTGTGTGGCGCCCGTTTATATAACATCAGAAACAGCTCCCGGATATACACACATATATATCGAGGACTAATCCGGAGTGACCAAGGAGCGAACGTGGCGTCCAACGAGTCCAGCAGCAGTGCCGCGGGCAGTGGCGCGGAATCCGCCGCCCTGTTCTCGAAATTGCGTAGCTTCTCCATTGGCAGTGGGCCCAACTCGCCGCAGCGTGTAGTCTCCAATCTGCGCGGCTTCCTCACCCATCGCCTGAGCAATATCACACCGAGCGACACAGGTGAGCATTTAGTGTCCAGGTGTACAATATACAGATACAGAGACACGGTACATTGCCCAGGTGCACCGTGCATTTCATGGATGTCGAGTGCTTGCATAACGTGGCGTCTCCGTCAAGGCATATAATTAAAATTAAACAACATTTCTTGCCCGCAAACACTCGTGGTGGCAAGTGCTTCGTCCTCGTCCTCGCCGTTTTAGTCAAAAGGACTCATCAGCGTTGTCCTTTGGCATACACACACATTCACCTCCTACACATATACCCATTTTTTATATAGGGATATGTATGTAAGTGTATGTGCGAGAGACCTGGTCGACACTTGCCACATTTCACAGGGTAGACACATTTTATTTATGGCCCCAAAAAACGAAACTCGTACTCGTAGGGTCGCAGGTTCGCAGCTTTCATTTCATTTCCCTCCCAAACGGGGAACGAAATGAAATGGAACAGTTACCGTTCGACCACCTACAGTCCTAGAAAAAAGAACATGAGAGCGCTTATGTAATTCACAGGACACTGAGGGGACTTTTCGTTTTAAAAATTAATAATTAAAAATGAGTTAAATGGAAAATAAATAAGAGCTTCTTCTTAAATCATAAAAGAATTTTTAAAAAGATTTTGAGTTTTTATTTTTATGTAAACTTATTTATTAAAATCTAAATCGTTTGTTAAAAATTTTTTGAAATAAGGTTCTTTTTAAAGCTTAAAAAACTAAGCATTTTCATGCCTAAAAGTTTTCTCTTCATTATAAAACTATTGAGTCCAAAAATGGGAGTTATGAAATCAAATTTTTTAGAGGATATTCTAAGAACAAATTCTTCCAGCAAAGTTCCTTTCAAAATCAATTAACCACGAATTACCCAACAAACGCTTTTATTAGATTGTGTTGACTAATCAAATTTGCGTCGGTTGTCTCATTAAATCATTACTAGCCTCCTCTGAAAGAGAAGAAACATTGTAGATGGAAAAGGACCTAGTCGTAGTTCATCAGGACAGTGACTACTATATCGACCATCTACCATCTAGCATCTAAATATCGGGTCAGAGGAGATGCCACCTGCCAGAGCGAAGCAATTTTCTCTGGTTCTGCGGCTGCTGCATAATGAAGGCAATAAATATAAATTTCACACACAAACAAAAACAGGACGCCGTCGTTGTCGTCATTAGATTGTTTGCCTTGTAGACGCGTTGTAGCGCTGATGTGTTCATAGCGGTTTCATGTCAAAACAAAGGGGGCGCACCGCCACCCTATCATGCCACCCTCTACAGCATCCCACCCAGTTTCCCGTTCGGTTTCAATCCCAGTCACCGCAGCCCGAAGAGCCCGGGGGGATGGAAACGCCAGAAACAAAGGCTGGCAGGAAGGTAGCTCGTAATAAGCTAAACGAGAAACAAGTAACGCATTTGTCTTGATGCTGTCGGATAAAAACCGTCCCGGACATCTCGAGGGTTGCCAGCAAACAGAAAAGGGTGGGGGTTGGGTGGGGTAGAAGCAGGACAACTAAAGGACCAGGTTTGGGAGCAGGACCGGGAGCTGGAATTGAAGCCGAAGTAGCGACATTAAAAGTCGTAAGCCGGTCGCTGATGGTGTTGTTGATTGCTCTGCATTTGCCAAGCTACAAATGGTTACATTTTTAGCCCGGGGTTTGATGCCAAAAATTAGCAATCATCTGGGATCTCCAAAATCTCAGATCTATTAATCAAAATATGCAAAAAAAAAATAGTATAAGAAGTTAAACTAAACTTGAGAGGTTTTGTAGTATGCTATGAACGCCTTTCACAATCCTTTGCTTTTCTAAAACATCTTTAAGCTTGTTAAGTAACATGTCAAAACTCTAGGATTGGAACATAGATCACAAAGTTTAGTGAAAACTTAATATATTTTCCCTCTGTGTATAAGACCCTTGCTAAAATTAATGAAATGTCTAGAATAAAGGTAAATTACTTTCACTCCCCACACGACAAAATGGAGAGAAAGAAAGCAATAAGTGTTGCAAGTCCAAGTAATTTATGTGCAAATCAATTTGTAATCCAACGCCCGATGCTGACCAGGACCAGGACCACAGAAGGGATGTTCAATGGAAACTGTCCATGTGTGCGAATACAAGGATATTAGACACGGAGGATATTAGAGCAGGAGGAAGCCATTTGGCACTCACTCCCCCTAGGGTGTAGGCGCCACTGGCCACGCCCATTTAATGCTTTGATTTATGGACAGAATTGCCACTAAAGGGACCACCAAAAATGGCGCCTCAGCTCTGTGTTTGGTCCTTTGTCTGGTCTTTTATATTCATGAATATATAGAGTTTTGAAACGGATCCTCGGGCTAAGTGGCTGCGAGTCCTTTGGGAGTTGATAAAAGCACATCCACAGCAGCACACAGCAGCGAAAATAGCAATAAAAACAAAACAGCTCCTGCCAGGAGGGTTGCTAACACGTTTCGGTTAAAAGGACACTCTTTTTAGCCAGCCAAAGTGACAAAACTTTTACAATTAAGAGTGTGTATTTCACGAGCGGCTAAGTAGGCTTAGCTAACCCAGTTCGCAACCACAAAATCGATGGAGGCCCGAAAGGCGACACAAGATACAAGATACAAGACAAGACAATTAAACTTGAAACAGAAACGTCACAAAGAAAACACTTGACAGTTGAAAGAGGGTTAAGGTAGTAGCTACTGCGCCCACCTCGCCAAGTTAATCGATCAAAAGTGGCCAAGGTGAGTCCAAAAGTGGAGGCTCATTAGCTGGCCACGGTTCATTAGAGACACCTCGGAACTCTGAGAACTAGCCACATGCCTCAGTGGGCATTTATAAGTCTAAGCCCTATATCTCAGAAGAGCTTTAGTTAAGAGATAAATAGTGTCAATATCAATACATTATTTTTCTCTCTGTACACCCTTCTGACCTGCTCAGGAGGAGGTACGACTACAACCCTTCAGCGTGGCATGCCACTTGAACAAAGCAGCTTACACCACTTGCGGGGAGTTTTACAAGTTCTGTGTTCCTTTTCGGGTGTGAAAGTGGGCGACAGTGGGGGGATGGTATCTTTCCACATAAATCTAAGGCAGATCGGGGGAAGGGAGAGGTCGAACACTTGTGAGGATTTTCCGCAGCCTTTGTCAAGTGCCTGCGTGCAAAATGCGGCTTACCGTAAATATTATGATATATTTTATTTGATATTTATTTAAGACTGCACCCCGCAACGTCTGAGCATTCGAATACAGGCAAATGGACGGAAAAATATTCTAGATTATTAATTTTAATGATATACGGACTGTACGCCTCGCATTTGTTTTCAAGTCCTCGTTGCCCGGGCAATGGAAAGTTCCAAAGCACAATTTGCCACATTTCTTGGTTGGTTTTTTCTGCCATCTCATTGCAAATGCAAACACCCCCCGATGAGGCAAAAAGAATAAGGTTGTACAGGGCAATATTGTATTTTTTATGTCTTACCCTTCAGGAGAATGAATTTTATTTTACGCTGATTACCTCGTCAGACAGACTCGGGCACACCCATCTATCCACGCCCCCCCATAGAGCTGCAGGGGCCTGGAGCTGAAAAAGCGAATGTAATTTCATTCCCCTTTCTCGGTTTCTCAGGTTTTTCCTCTACATTTTTTTTGCTTTTTGTGAAAAGCAAACATCACGAGTTGCTGTGAAAAACGACAGGAGCAGGCTGTGGATGTTCCCAGGGTTACGGTGGGCGGCAAAAGTCGGCGATCATCCTCTATTTGATGTGTGGGAGGCAGCCTGGAAGGCGTGAAAGGTCTTTAAGCTTCTTTTTCAGGTTTTTCTCGAAGGCTTCAAGTTTCAGTCGTTTGTTCAGAATACCATTTGAATTTTGAAAAGATTGAATTTTGTTTTCCAGAATAGACTTGGCTTTTAAAGAACTCTCAGAAACTTCGAAGATATTTTGCATAAACCCCAAAGAACATAAAGACTCTGACTTTATTAAAACTACTTTTCACCTTAAAGACTCTTAAATATTCAGGGAAAATATAAAGAAACCTTGGCATCACCTGAGGTCCCACCGGTGGGGTGCATTAATAATGAAACTTAAAACAAAAACTAAATTTTCTGCCTTTGTGCGAACACATGGGCTGTCATAATTTACTGCGGTGGAAGCTGCATAAAATATGAACTCCGGGTTACTAATTGAGCCGGTCGGAAGTTGCCACTCGACCCGTGGCAACATGAAAGGAAATTCAAAATGCCGGAAGTGGGGGTCCGGCCTTTCGCAGGATGAAGACAAGGCCAGGCCAAACAGAAACTGAAACCCAGAACTCACATTTTGTATAAATGTTTATGCTCGGCCTGGGAAATTTGTCAGCTGTCCGAAGGAGCTTTGAGCCAGCCAGACAGGGCGGAAAAATCAATAAAATTATGAAAACGTAAATACAAATTGCTAGCTCATGTATGTGAACAAAAACAAAAATATATAATCAGTTGAATCTATTGAATCTATTTTATAGACTATAGAATTTATTTGTTTGAACTCTTAGAATGTTAGTTCTAGGAATGGGTAATGGAGTGGGAATATATAGTGGAGATACAATTATTGAGGTACAAAATCAATAACCCAATTGGCAGTTGTACGTACTTTATCATAACTACTTCCTATATTCATAAAATATCTATCTAGTTTGTGTTTCAATATAATCAACATGTCGGCACACGTTTCTGCACTTGACTCACGAGCATGTTGCAACCCCTGGTGCTGATAAAATCCTGCCCGAACCCACCACCCCCAGGGTCAAGTGCGGACACCCACCATACCCTCCAGTCCCACCAGATCCACCTGACCCACCGGATCCGTCAGGCCTCCTTCTGTTATTGTTGTTGGGGGAAACGGGAAACGAGAATTCAAAAATTAAAGTCGCTGGATGGAAAAATAAAAGCAACAAACCCACACAGTATAATTGACTCATGGACGGCCTGGGGGCTGTTAGAGGATATATGTATGTATATACGAGTATGTGTATACAGTGCCGTCGATCGGGGGAGAGCTCAAGGTTGCCCGAGGGGCGGAGAGATTGGGGCGGCAGATACACGGACACGGGGACGTGGTCATGAAAATTTAATGATAAAACGAAATGTTTTTGTTACGTCTCGTGTACGCCAAAGCCTCATAAGGGGAGGTTCTGGATTTAGATGGTAAGGGAGACGGTGGGGGTGGTGGAAATGGGGAGGAGGAGTGGGGTCATATTTACACCCTGCACACGTCGCATTTTAATGTTTGCTCAATGGGGGTGGCTGCTACAAGGTAGATAAATGTTGAAATTAGATCAGTATTGATGGAAACTTTAACAAAACAAACAGCTAATGAACTTACCAACTTACCATTTACTGAAGCTTAAATATACATAAGTCTTAAAGAATGTCCAATACTTTCACTATCCTTTTGTGTCCTTTTTGAGTCCTTACTGGTTGCGTGCAAGTCGAGGTCCTTCAGTACTTTCTTTTTTTGTGGGAAAAGCAATAATTATAATTACAGCTTCGATGAGTGCAACCACGTGGCTCCGAGGGCTCTTCACTCCACGTTCCACTTACCTTTCTTCTTAATGGGGGTTACAGGATACGCCACAACATTTTCAGGCCAAATCCAATTAAAATAATTGCTACACCCTCAGTGTGTGTACTCCAGGACCCACCACGAATACTGAATTACTTAATAATTGTATACGTATTTTTCGGTATTTGTTTTATGATTGAAATGTGTGTCCCTCGAAAGAATAAAATAAAATACCTATTTAATCGATAAATCCGATAAGTTAAAGCTGTGTAACAATGCCACGAAATACAATCCTAATACAAATAAAATTTTTGTTCACCAGCAGGCAGCCTTTTGCAACACAGAAACAACATTTCAATCATAAAATGAATCCAACTAACAACTGAAAATTAATCCTAGTTAAGAATGAGCGGTGTAAGGTGTGCAGATAAATAAAAAGTTAAGAAAAAAAATAATAAAAAGAAATTAATTTGCAAGACTAACGAAATCTTGTTTCTGTGTCGTTAAAGGTTGTTCACTGGCATTCGTACAACACCAAATTCAACAACAACTACACGAAAACATGTAAACCACACAAGAGCAGCAATAATTGTTAACCAAAAGCAACGATAAACCACCTCAAAAGCGAGCTGAAAAAAAACTGATTAAGAGAGAAAGTGTGGAAGAGCGGAAACGGAAGTAGTCATATTTTTGCAAGCAACTTCCGGCTGTGACCATGACAAGCTCCCAGATCGGCGCATGAAACCGCAATAAAGAAAAGCTTTAAGGCAAACTGAAGGAGACGAAGGTAACTGTCAGTACAAAGAGGATAGAAAAAAAGAGAAAGAGCTAAAGAAAGCAAAAGCTGGGAGAATAAGAGAAAGAAAGTCCTTAAAAACCTCTACAACTAAAAAAACAGAGCAACCACCAAAATGGCCTCCTCATTCCAAATACCTGTAATCAACCTCGAGCTGCGAGAGGTCAAGGAGATCGTCTGGGAGAAGATCCAGGAGCCGGTGAACCAGCGCCGCCTCATCCTGGTGATCGTGTCCATAGCCCTGCTCCTGGACAACATGCTCTACATGGTGATAGTGCCGATTATACCCGACTATCTGAGGGAAATAGGCAGCTTTGATGATGGACCAACGCCTCCGCCATTACGGGATAATATCACGGGAAAAATCATTCCTGTACACCACGACCACCATGGGCAAGACTCGGCCACAGGTATCCTCTTTGCCTCGAAGGCCATTGTCCAGCTGATGGTGAATCCTTTTTCGGGAGGCCTTATCGACAAGATCGGCTACGACATTCCTATGATGATCGGCTTGACCATTATGTTCTTCTCCACGGCTGTGTTCGCCTGTGGAAGCAGCTACAGTGTTCTGTTCTTCGCCCGATCCCTGCAGGGAGCTGGATCCGCCTTTGCGGATACTTCGGGACTGGCCATGATCGCCGATCGCTTTACGGAAGAGAACGAGCGCTCCCAAGCGCTGGGTATTGCCCTGGCCTTTATCAGCTTCGGGTGCCTGGTGGCGCCGCCGTTCGGTGGAGCTCTCTACCAGTTCGCTGGCAAGGAGGTACCCTTCCTGATCCTGGCGCTGGTGTGCCTGCTGGACGGGCTGATGCTGTTGTTGGTGATGAAGCCTGTAAAGGAGCAGATTAAGCAGAGCAGGCAGGTGCAGGACCAAGTCATTCCCATCTGGCGTCTACTCATGGATCCGTACATAGCCGTCTGCGCTGGAGCCCTGACCATGTCTAATGTGGCCCTGGCCTTCCTGGAGCCCACCATCTCACTCTGGATGGAGGACACAATGACCACTGATAACTGGAAAATCGGAATGGTCTGGCTGCCGGCTTTCTTCCCTCACGTCCTGGGAGTGGTCATTACTGTGAAGATGGCCCGGAAGTATCCGCAGCACCAGTGGCTCATGGCCGCCGGAGGACTGGCCCTCGAAGGACTCTCCTGTTTCATCATACCCTTCTGCAGTGGCTACAAGATGCTGATGTTGCCCATTTGTGTGATTTGCTTCGGAATTGCCCTGATCGACACCGCCCTGCTGCCCACCCTGGGATACTTGGTGGATGTTCGGTACGTCTCCGTCTACGGAAGCATCTACGCCATTGCGGACATATCCTACTCGATTGCCTACGCTGTGGGACCCATCATTGCCGGAGGTGTTGTGGAGGCTATTGGCTTCACGGCCCTCAACTTTATGATAGCCTTCTCTAATCTGGCCTACGTCCCGGTGCTAAGAAAGCTGCGCAACATCTACGACTTCAAACCTTTCGAAAACGAGGCCAACATCCTGATGCAGGACCCGCCCAACAAGGAGTACCAGACGTATGTGATGCACGACCAGAAACCTGTGGAGGGCGGCCTGAGAAATCACCTGGAGTACGGGCAGCAGTATCAGCAGGAGCAGGAGACCAACCTGGACGACCCAGGCTTCGACTACCAGGCGCAGCAGGGATACCAGCAGGCGGAAGGCAGTTATCAGCAGGATCAGGGTTACCAGCCAGGCTACCAGGAGCAAGGCGGTAGCTACGCCCCTCAGGGACAGGCCCCCCGTGTGGCCAATCCCTTCCAGCAGCAACAACAGCAGCAACCACAACAACAACAGCAGCCTCAAAGCAGAGGTCCTGCCGGATCGGCGAATCCCTTTAGGCAAGGATTTTAAACTGTTGCCCAGCCCCAAAACCCTTTAAAACCAACAACCCGAATATTCCTAGCATTAAATCATGTTTTGTTTTGTATTCTTTGTTGAACCTACTACTATATAAACATATAGCCCCGAAAAAAACACATATATTTAGCCTAGAAATATATAGCAAGTGGTACGTACACTATAACGAGCATAACATGCAGATCAGATAGTAAAAAGCAGCTAGTTAAAGCCTTGCACTGCACCAATTTTGTATTATACACGAATGTTGAAGCAACTAAATAATCAGGCAGTGATGGGAGAGTTACTAACTCGGTTATCTAGGTGGGGTGAAGGGTTTAAATGTTACTCAAAATCAAAAGAACTTAAAATTAAAGAATTGAACAGATTTTGTTTCATATATTGGCCATAATTCTAGAATCTAGATCATCTAAAAAACCTCTTAATGCCTTTTTTCATAATTTTTATAATTATAATGTCCACCTGACCATTTTCCCCACCTAGATAAAGTATCAAGTCCCATATATACTTCTTCCATCATTGCCATTGAATATATATACAAATCGCGTATATGCCTCAGCATATATAGCAGCTATATAGAGTGGCCCGATCGGGTCGCCTATGCCCTATACTCAGTACTCATGCAGCCGTTTTCGTGTCTATCAGTCAGTGAAGCTAGAGAAACCAAAGCCTAGGCATAGTTAGTGGTTAAGGGGAGGGGGCGGCATCAGCCCCCTCCCGCCATATCAAATATATACATACCAGATATTATATACACGCAAATATGCAAATATAGTGAATAAATATATACAAGTTAGTCCGTAAGCGGCTAGTCCGGCCATCGGACCACTTTCGCTGAAGTGCCGCCGAGTGTTTGTTGCACAGACAGTGGCATCAATATCGCAGACATATCAAAAGTTGCACAAATCGAAACCCTCCCCCACAGAAGGAACTATATTTCGGGTGTCACTGTGGCGGACTTGCAGAGGAAGTGGCTTCCTGGCCGGAGCGGCTATATGATTTCCGGTTCAAGAAAAACATTTTCAGTTCGACCATTTGTTAACATAAGACACAACCAAGGTAACGATACATATCAGAGTCGAATGGCTCGCCTGTTAAAATTACCAAAAGTGATATTACCTATTGCTACTAGCCTCTAAATTATATATACTATATACATATATCGTATCATATCGTACTAAAACCTACTTTTAGGCCGTGCATAAACTGTACATAAGTTCTACAAAAATTTGAAATTCAGATTCAAGTTTCACATTTACCTACCAATCAATTATTATTTGCTTGACGACTCCATGGGTCCCCGAATCAGGGGAATTATACCCATGAGAGATCTTCGATAGCATAGCATAAATGTGTGTACCTTGTCTATAAGATAAAGATAAACATAACGATAAAAATATTGAAATATACAGATTAACGGTCTAATTGTATTTTGAATTATTTCGAATGCACTTTTTGATGGCAGTTTACTGCCACTATATATTATACACCTTTTAGCTGTATTTATACCAATAGGAAAGCTGATCTTTTTCAGCCCATTTATGTACATTTTCTGAATGTATTTTAGCCTGCAATTGAAATTAGTTACGAGTACATACACAAACTTTCAAAATCCGTGAACATATCAGGCCATTTCCGAACTGCTCTAAATGCTAAGAGTATCTTATGACTTATGAAAGCAATTGATTGGATCGCAGTCTGCAAACTCATACATTAGATACATACATAAAAATGCACTGATTCAAAAATGCTTAGTTGTCAAGGTTTTCAAAAATATTTATCAACTTTATTTAAATTTGGTTTAGATTTACAAAAGCTTTAGAAAATTTTCTTGCTTACACTTCGTTTAAGAAAGCATTATTCTTTTGTAAATCTTTGGTTCGTATCAAGCCTACACTCAAAATATAGCTCTATAAATTTACAAAAACTGTAGAAATACTCTTAACTATAAAATGAATTAAACTCATGAAAAATCTCCCATCAAAAGTATCAATTAAATCGAAGGACAGGTGAGGTCGTGGCGAAGTAAAAAGTGTTGAAGCTATACATATTTATAAATATGAAAGGCAAAAACCAATTAAATTACAATTAATATAGTCAATAAAAATATATATATTTATCATTATGTAACATATTATATTATCAATTAAAGTTTTAAATAAGTAGCTATCAATAGAATTTGAATTACAAATAACCAAACCAAAATATATGTAACAAACCCCTCAAAAAGCAATATTTTCTCAAGTTTCATTGGAAACACTCATCTAGAAAAGAACAAACACCAAGCTGAGAGGCCATGTGAGGGTCATTCCATTGTCAAAATTTAAAAATCAGACTTTTGTTTTAAAATAAACGCTAAAAATGCTTAAATTGTAAAACCTTGCATGGCCGTCGAGGCTGGCTGTAGATAGATGTGAAATAAAAATTATATTAGAAAATTTCAGGCATTCAAGATTTCAATAGATTTGAACACTTTTTAACCAAAGTTTGGTAAAGAGCAAAATGTATATGAATCTTCCAATTTGGTTTTACAACAAAATATATATTTCTAAATCTAAGTAATCGCATAATGTAGTCAGACGACGAGATGACGAGGAGCAGTATAGCCTAAAGGATACTTAGCAGTGCCGGCAATGTGTAATAACTAACTAAACGAATAAGAGCAAATGGAACGCATCAACTAAATGAGTTGCAACTTGCAAGTAACATACATGTACTATATAATATATATATACGAGTAATTAGACATTTATGAAATGAATTATTAACACATAAAGCAGTTAATTGAATGGTTATAATCTGCGTATTACAAGTGTTGAATGTTCAATAGCATTATATGAATTATGAATTATATACGCGACAGCTATGCGCTATATGGATAATTAATGAGAAATTAATTTTTAATATCTAATATTTACTATAAAAGACAAACGGATTTTAACTTGGGCAACAACAAAATACCGATGGCACAGAACAAAAAAAAGAATAATAATAATAATTTGATGATTCAATATTCTTTCGTAATGGGAGTTTTCTCTATTCGATAGTTTCTATGTGTTGTGCATGTGAAGAAGCGTTTTTAGAAAATTTAATTGTATACCCCTAGAGAAAATAAAATGAGTTTGTAAGCGAGACCCGAGGAAGGAGTTAATGCCGCCACAGTTCAGTTTTTGTATTGTATATAAGGCATATTGTTAGTTTCGAATGTAATTTTTGAATCAAAGTGTTTCAAGTACATAAATATTATAGTACCGAACTAAATTATTACGAAAGTCTTTGCAATTTGTTTCGGCTAATGTTATAGACGTTTGTGTTACATATTTACGAGTACCAATAAATATTACGATAAACAGCGGAAATTATTATTGCAAATAAGCTGAAGCTGAAGGCGAGGCAAAAAATAACATTTCAAATCAAGTATCCAAAAGTCCCAGTTCTGTAACGTTGCTGTTCAATTTCCAAGTCTATCCATCTATATTCTAAACGTAATTATGTTTGTATCTGAATATCGACACCAGATATCGTTCAATTTCAAAGTAACCCCCAGAAAACCAGAAACTAAGCTATCTACAAATGCTATGCATATCAAAAAGAAAGTAAATATTCAAAGACTTAACATAGCTAGAGCATATATTTCCAAAGCAGGCCGAAAGCGAAATCAAATTGAACAGGACATGGCAAGCAATCAGGAACTGCCTTTAAAAACCAAATGTCCTTGAAGTGAGATGCAGCAAATCAAAATATTTGCTGCTGGGGAGCTTCAAGGACGCGCCACACAGTCGCACATCCATGAATTTATAAACGAATTTGGACTGCATCGTTCGGGAATTGCAAATTGCAGATGCATGCCTCTGGCTATGGGAAAATGTTTTGAATAATGAATTGAATTGAACGAGCAGAAATATAACCGAACGTACATTAAAGCATACACGAATACCGATGATATTGGCAAGAGCTATAAAGGAACGATAAGGCATTATTACAGAGCCACAGCAAACACACTCCCAACACCCCACACCCCACACAACACCCAACAGAAACAAATAACACAAAAAACAAACATGTACTATTGAAATATAATTGTTAACCATGAAAAGCGTGTCTTTCAATGGCAATGGAAACCGACAGCTCATCCGATCTATTAACGATTAATGCAATTAATTAGCTAATGCAGGGCCGTCCAAAGACCTGTTCAATCGGATCCTGTAGTGTACTTGTCCTCATGTCAAGGCAAATCGAGAACTTTTGCCTCAAACTCAGAAACTCATCCTCACTCAACTTTCTGGGGAATGGTGTGCGTGCCCTGGGGCCAGAAATTTGTGTGGAAAATGATTTTATGTTTGCAATTTCCATTAGCAACTTTGGACCGAGTCACGAACAGGCTGGGCGGGGAGTCTGGGCAGGAAGGCACACAAAAGTTTCCTTCTTTATTTTTTTGGGAGGATGCCCCGGGCTTTGGCTCAGAACCAGAAACAGGACTCAACCGCAAAACCTAAAGGTAGACCACTTTCGAAGTGTGTATCTGGTATGTGCACAGGAAAAAAAAGTAAGATTAAATACATATAAAAGTATGTACTTAATTAAGATTCAATATAATAGCCATTCTCACAAATTTTATATTGTTTTCTTTATATATGTTTATATGTCTTTTTTATAGAAAATAGTACGATTTTTTCTTTGTGTCCTTAAGATTTGTGGCAACCGCAAGCCATGTCAGCATTCCTTCCAATCTCCACCACAATGAGTTGGCAATTTTCGGTTTCCGCTTGTTTCAATCCGAACAATTACAGGAATTTCCAATGGCTCTATGCGGCAGTTAATTTGGGTTTGGCGCACAAAAGTATGCTAGGCATTTGCGCTTCCCGCAGAACCGGAAGAAACAAAAAAAAAAAGAACGATTCGGAAAATAAAGCCAAGACAGCCACAAAAGCGCAACGTAGTTGTAGCCGTGAAACAACGCCGCTAAGACCGTAAAGGATTTACGGCTCAATTGCTGTGTGCGTGCGGCGGAGGACAAGTCCGAGGGAGCAGCCGTAGAGCAGCCACCCTTGAATGAGAATGGAATAAAGCCCTTTACGAGCAGGCAAACCGAACAAAAGAAGGAAAAACTCATTCAGCCGCCCATTCATCGCCGTTACCAACAATGTTATGACCCCAGCAGACCGTCAGTCCTTCAGCCCGGCAGCATCCCAACCCCTGGAGTCTAGGGCACGGAATCCGAATGCCGAACTGGTACCAGCGATGCGGTTGGGGTCACAGCTTGTTCGACTGGTGTTTTATGTAGTCGCAACGTGTCGCGCCCTTTCCCGCTCCCCATTTTTCGCTACGGATTTGTTTTGCCTTTTTAAATTCTTCTCCTTCATTTGCTCCGGTTGCCAGCAGATGCTATTCCTCCGGCTCTCTGGTTCGGTTCGGTTCTAATGAGCTACAGTCCTGGGGTTGACTCTTGCTAAATTGGAATCATGCCGGCAGAAACATTATTTTTCATTGGGATTACATTTTTATCGCATTGTCTGACAGGCGGCAGCAGTTGGCTGTCGTTCCGGGTTTGGGTCTGGTTGGTGGGGAGGAGCTCCTGCTCCCATGAATTCAAGCGTGATTTTTGCAGCTTAATAATGAGCCCTTGTCGCTTTACTGGCGCGTTTTATTGGCCAGCATTTAAAGTAGGGGCGTGTTGGCTTGGCCATAATCCAAGGAATCGTTTCTGTTAATGTGTGAAATTCCCTCCGCCCATTATCGCATATCTTCCGACCGCTGTAATACATTATGGCCTCAACCCCCCAAATAGAATCATGAGATGGCACAAAAACCGACAGATCAGAGCAAATTGAAGGAGACATCAGACCGAAAAATGGGGAGGAAGGAAGGGCATTACTTCTGGGGGATACTTCCCAATGGTGCATGAATATCTGATTAGCTAGCTGTCAATCTAATCAGTATTTCTGGTCATCAATCAATCAATCAATGGGAAAAGTGTCTCTGACAGTGGTTATACATAATTGGAGCTGACGGTAAGGAGGCTGATATTCTGTATCCCAAAGGATCTAATCACAGGGACTACATTTGTTGCTTAACCTGAAATTTATTAAAGATACATACAAGTTTTTATTTTCATAACTTTCCATCCCCCAGGTCCATTCATATCCATTTAGAAAAACTTTCTAATTTGAATTTATATTTGTACATCAAAGAATAAAGTAACAAGACCGATAACTTTCCATCAACTTTTTCTAAATTGAAATTTGCTCTATTGGCGCAAGCGAGTTGGCCTGAAAAATAAAGCAACCACCCCGGGAAACCCAAACCAGAGCTTTAATTACTTAATTTGAATTTCTCAACGCCGCTTCCTAACGCAATTTATTACAATTTGCATGATGGGTATGATGGGTCGACTGCTGGCTGGTTAGTCCTTTGTACAGGTTACAGTTTGTGGTTGTACTTGTTCCAAGGCGGAGATAGATACATCGGAACAATAGAGCGGACCGGCGGCCCAAATTGCTGCCACGCGACTCCATTGTGTGATTACCTCCGCCAGTCGCTAGTGGTTCGGTTTGGGGCATCTTTAGCAAGATAATGAAAAAAGGATAATAAATTGTATTAAATTTGACATCGTTGGGGAGGCGGCGAGTGTCGTTTCCTTTCATCCCAATTGCCTCAAAATAACTTTTATTAATAACATTATGATTGGCCCCAAGTTAGCTGGAAAATGGTTGGAAGAGAAGTGCTTCAAAGCCGTCATTGCCATGACCCTGAAGTGCCTGTTATATATATCTCTACGTTTTTCACTCTCAAGTGGCCGGCAATTTAGATAAGAGTTTTTATACTCTTATGAAGGCCAACTCAAAATGTTGTTAGAGCTTCAAACCACTTTTTTCTGGCCCTCGGAAAATGGATTTTTACTTAATTTAATTTTCCTTTGTTTTCATTGTCTGATTGAGAGCAAATAAGTACTTTATAAAGATGAAAAAATATATATACTTTTTATTCAACACCATAGTCCAAACACCCCAGAAAAAAGTTTTCATTTTAAAGGGCATCGGAAAATTAATGTTTACTCCACGAAGGATGCCAATTACATTTTTCCAGGAAGGTTGCAAAGTAAAGATTACTGTTTACAAAAATAGGATGTCAATTACGTTTTTCTGGAGCTATCTTGGCTTGTACTTGTTATCTGTGAAATTGGCTTGGAACGATTGACAATAACATTTCGGCAATTGGTGGAATCGAACCGACCCACACAGCCATTTTGGCCATGTGAACTAGGGCCGGAAACTCGAGCTACTCGGGCGCAATGGCAACCGGAAGTGCTTATACAGTTGAATTACAGCAATGACAGCTAAAGTTTTTATGACCATGTCAGGACGGCTGAGAGGAAATGAGCCGGGCTTTAAGCCCAAGAGTTTTCAGTTTCCTTGTCCGATTTTATTGCATTCTGGCCGGCGGAAGCCTGGTCGAGACAATAAATGGCAAACTTGCACGAATTTGTTCGAATCTCGTGAGTGAGTGAAGGATGCCTTGAATTGAGTGAGGGAGCTGGGAGGTAATGTAATTTGAACTGAAGATAAGGGAAATCGAATCCAAGGGTTGGCCCGAATAAATTCCAAACTTTATGACGCATTGCCTATACATCTTTTACCTTTTCACCGAGCTGTCACTTGAATCGATAAGAATTCGATTTGGGAATTTTTTGTTTTTGGCTTTTTTGGGGAGGCATCCGAATCACTTGAGTCACCTGACAATGATTAACTAGTTCTACAAATTACTCAACAATTTAATTTGGTGTTAAACAAGTCAGTCAAGTCCCTAATCAGCGATCGTCGCGTCGCCTCTCTGGTTTCTTTGTTTTCTTCCAGGATGGCGAGACTCGATTCTGTCGATTCCAAAGAAATGGCTCTCCACCGCCGAGTCCGTGGACGAATTTGGATTCCCTGACGTGAGTAAAATTGATTAAACAATTTCACATTTTCTGTGCATTCCAGCGGGCAAATATTTGGACAAGAGCCTGGAACACGACTGCTACTTGAATAATTCAAAGACAAACAGGCGGACAGACTAATCCTGTTTGTTATAATTACAAATGCAAATAACAGGCCCTTTTGTATGGCAACCGGAAAAGGGGGAGCAAAGCCTGGCAACCAACCTGCCGCAGCGAACGAGCCGAGCAAACAAAATCAACTCAACCTTTTCGCTTTTTCCCTCCACAACCCTCATAGAGATAGAGAACCAAGTCACCCCCCTCGTACTTACCTGTAAAAAAAGCACAGCAGCCGCAAGCAGAGTTGGCAACTGGTATTAAGAGGAAATATTAAAAAAGAAAATATTAAAAATTCACTTAGTTCTCTTGCCGTGAAATAGAATTAAAGTTCCAAGTAAATTCAGTTAATAAAATTTAAGCCTTAATATTTTGGCTAAAAACCAGCCCAATGCGCAATTCTGACAGCCACCCCTGAAAAATAAAGCCAGACATCAGAGCCGTAAAGCGGCATCTGAAAGGGGATCTACTAACAAAGACAAGTGACAGACAGGAGGCAGGATATTCGGCATAGCAGAGTTTCAGTTTTGGCTTTGAAAGCCGAGAACAGGAAAACTCCGAAAGTCAACGACATGTTGACACTTTTAACGTTCTCTCAGCATTTGGATAAGTGAAAATTTGTGTTTTTTGCACAGCAGGTGCAAATAAACGAAGGTCGCATGATTTATTCAAAATGATTATTTTCAGCTTCCAACGAAAACCCATCACAATCTAATTGTTGGACTTCCCCCAAGCCATGCTCTCAATTATAGTTTTCTAGTAAGGGTGACTTGCAGGAAAATACAAGCAAATAGAGAAAAGAAATTTCAAGGACTCGGAGCACAATGTCAGATTCAAGAATTGCCATTTCTTTCCTTCGTTTTTTTGTGATTTGAAATTCGGTTCCCCAGGGCATAAACTTTTTTTGTCGCAATGCTCCTGGCGAGGCAGGGAAACTTTCCGTAATGCCATGCATACAAATGAGGAAAATGAAAATGGAAAATGGGTAGCGGAGGATAAAGAAAAGTGGCATTGCCAAGTGTCTGTGACGCAAAGTGAATGAAGAATGAAATGAAAATTACTGAACCCTTTTCAGACTCTACCCAAGGTGCCCGTTCCGCCGCTGGATGAAACGATGGCCGACTACATCCGGGCCCTGGAGCCGATCACCACGCCGGCGCAGCTAGAGCGGACCAAGGAGCTCATCAAGCAGTTCACGGCCCCCCAAGGCCTTGGGCCGCGGCTTCACCAGTATCTCCTGGACAAACGCGACGCTGAGGATAACTGGGTAAGCGTAGGAAGTTTCTTTTCATATTGTTATGATTTCTTTATTTGGGAAAAGATGTTCACATTTTTAAGCAAATTTAAAAACGACTTTTTTTATATTTTGTAATTATGTTGCAAAAATCCCTTTTATTCTGGCGGAAGTGGTAACATCTACGATTTTGATTTATGTGCTGGGAGCTGCGGTAATTGTCGGAGGACTAACGACGATGATCGGAGCCGTGGGATAGGGAGTATTTGGAGTAGGAACGTTGCTATCGTTTGGAGATGGGGGCTGGGGCACACTGATGGTGGTGCCAGAGGGCGTAATCACGTCATCGCTGCCCGACGGGGTGGAGGTGGTGTCCGACTCGGTAGGAGGCGTCGGCACACTCTGGGTGGTGGTGGTGGCGGCGGTAGTTGTGGTGGTTGGGGAAGCGGTGGTGGTAGTGGTGGTGGTGGTGGTGGTTTCGGTTGGGGCAGCGGTGGTGGTTGTGGGAGCCACTGTAGTGGTTTCTTCTGCGGAATTAATGTCCACGCAATTGGGTCCAAAGGCCAGGCTGCTGCAGGGAGCGCTCGGCAGGTAAGAGGCGCAAGGCTGGCAGCCCTGAAGCGGGTAGCTGAAGTAGTTGCTGTTGGAGCAGTTAGTCGGGATTGGGCTGACACGGCCGGCGACGGTGGTGCACTTGTAGTAGGTCTGGGCATTGGAATAGATGGGCAACATCAAGCCGGCCGCCGGGCATACGACGGGGGAGATCTCTTGCGTGTACTGGGGAGTCCTGTTGCATTCTTGGTAGGTCTGGGCGTTGACAGCCACGAAAGCGGCGAGCACAAGGATTACTTTATTGGAACAAAAAAAGAAAGGAAAGGATTTTAGAGATACTCTGTCACATATATCGTAGCTATTACTCCGTTTAAAAAAGCTCCAAAAGTTATAAATATCCTCTAGGCAATGTATCCTGTATGTCCGTTTGGAATGCTTACCGGTCTTCATATTTCCTGCTGATTCGGGTTACTTGCGAGACTATAAAGAATTCGCTGTCTGGCTGCTAACTCGGCTCACCGATCACTGATGCAGTCCAACCAGAAGCAAAGCCTATTTATTCCACCTCGGTCCCCATGTTAGACACGTTTAATCAACCCGCCCCAGGTTCTAGATTAATTCGTGTTTTGTCGCCCGCGATGCGAAAATGAAATCAGCAATGCCAAATGCCGAACGAAGTACGCTAATTGCGCCTTAGACTTCGGTTCGATTTCGGTTTCGGTTCTGGTAATCTCCCCCCATTAGGGTCCCGAAGATAACGCTCTCCTCGGGGCGGAAACTATTTCGAATCTGATCGGTGGAAGAAGTAGTAGCCTATGGTGTGACTCCCATTCATTCCAAATGTCATGTCTATTAGCATCACTGCCAAGATCATCTTCTCGGAAGTCCCGTCAAAATGACTTCATGGCATTTTTCCAATGAATTGAAATTCTCTGCATTTTATCAATTTTTTTTCAGATAGCAGGTTACTTTTGGTTGACTTTTCGTTATCGTTTTGGGGAAGCACTACATGAATTGTTCTATCGTTTTCTTAATTTTTAAAATATGTGTCACAGGAATCACCAGTAATATGTTCAATTACGGAAGTTAATATCAATTAATAAGATTAGAACTCTCATTCTTCAAATATATTATATCCCTAATTATGGCACAACTTCTTAAAGGTTATAAAACTATAAATTTTATTCTTCTTTCTAGCTAGCACCCTAGCTAATCAAGATTATATCATATTGAACCATACGTCCAATATATGCGACCAATATATGTCGCAGTATGTGACAGTTTCTTCCTATCTGGGCTTCAACATTTCTTTTTTTTTTAATTTTACATTATCGGTATCGTATGTCAGTCATGGGCCTATCAAAAATATTCCGTAAATAACAAGAAATCGCAATCAATTAACAATTTTGACTTTCCACCGCGATAAAGAGTTTCTGGAAACCCATTAAAGTTTCTATGTATTCCCCGGGACAAATACGGTCCAAATAAAAGTCAATTTTTGCAGTTCACGATATTTAATTAATTGCTATTCAGAGTAGTGAATGAAATTCCGCTTGCTAGATAGTTAAGATGTGGACATTGGAACTGGCGATCTGGGGGCTACGAATTCTGGGAGAATTAGGCGCTGGCTGGCTTCTTGCCGGCTGGCTTGGGAGGCGATGGCTTCTTGGCGGCCTTGGAGGGGGTGGGAGCAGCAGGCTTCTTGGCGGCAGCGGAAGCAGCGGTGGGCTTCTTGGCCAACTTGTTGGGAACGGGAACGGTGGGCTTCTTGACGGGCACTGGCACCACGGGCTTCTTCACCTTGTTGGGGACGGGCACGGCGGGCTTGGACACTTCCACGGTGGGTGGGGTTGCTGGCTCTGGAGCGGGAGTGGGAGGAATGGGGTGGGACTCGACCTCCTCCTCGGACTCGTGTTCGTGCTCGTGCTCATGCTCATGCTCATGCTCGTGATGGTGGTGACCGTGGTGGTGCTCGGCGCTCTCGTTCTCCAGCTCGGAGTGGGCAGAGGCAATCACTGGAGGAGAATCCTCAATGAGGTGCATGGTGATGGGAGCAGCAGTGGGCAAGACATCCATAGGAGGGGCAGGGATGTAGAGAGCGGGAGAGGTGCACTGCTGGAGGACGAAGGTGAAGACCTCACCAGATGGACAGTGAGCCGTCAGCTGGTTGCCATAGACACCAGAGCACACGAAGTACTCGGAGTTGCTGTGGTAGCTCGGCCAGCGGATTCCGATCTCGTTGCGGGCGCACTGCAGCTTGTAGTCCAGGCGGGCCTGGCTAACAGCCAGCAGGCTCAAAAGGGTCAGGGCGAAGACTGCAAGGGCTCAGGGAGTTAGACATGAAGTGGCAGCATTCCAGAATATATTTCTTACCTTTCATATCGAAATAGGTCCGTGATGCTTATCCGTGAAGGTTCAGAGGAACTGTGGTACTGCTCTGTCTCCAAAACAATTGCCATTATTTATACCACTCCACATCTTGATATCTGCAATCAGCGATCGCTCCGAGATTCTATTGATTTCTCTGATAGAAGTTTTTTTGGCTCTGGGCCCCACCCATTCGAAAATTCCCAAAAAGATTCACAGCTAATTGAATTTGTGTCGAACATGAAAAGGAAATGGCAGCCAATAACACATTTTTCATGACCCACCCTTTGGGGACCTTCAAAGAATGATCAACGAATGTTACAACACGATTTATTGTTTTAAGTTTATGTTTTGCATAATGCGGAGGGTTCCCGAAATCTCTAGATATTTATTTTTTAGGTTATTATAATTTTAATCCTATTTCTAGGCTTACTATTACTGGCTCAACGACATGTACATGAATGTGCGCATTCCCTTGCCGATCAACTCCAATCCGGGCATGGTGTTCCCGCCCCGACGCTTCAAAACGGTCCACGACGTGGCCAACTTTGCCGCACGACTGCTGGACGGGATTCTGGCCCATCGCGAGATGCTGGACAGCGGAGAGTTGCCGCAGGAACGGGCCGCCTCGCGGGAGAAGAACCAACCACTGTGCATGGCACAGTATTACCGCTTGTTGGGCTCCTGCCGGCGCCCTGGTGTGGAGCGGGACTCGCAGTTCCTGCCCTCTCGGGAGCGTCTGAGCGACGAGGACCGGCACGTGGTGGTGATCTGCCGCAACCAGATGTACTGCGTCGTGTTGCAAGCCAGCGACCGCGGCAAGTTGTCCGAGAGCGAGATCGCCTCCCAGATCCTCTACGTCCTGAGCGATGCTCCCTGTTTGCCCTCGAAACCGGCTCCAGTGGGTCTGCTGACCGCCGAGCCGAGGACCCGCTGGGCTCACGACCGGGAGCTGCTTCAGCAGGACGAGCGAAATCAGCGCAACCTGGAGCTGATCGAGACCGCCCAGGTGGTGCTCTGCTTAGACGAGCCGCTGGCCAATAACTTCAATGCCCGCGGCTTCACCGGAGCCACCCCCTCTGTCCACCGGGCCGGCGATCGTGATGAGACGAACATGGCCCAGGAGATGATCCACGGCGGCGGCAGCGAATACAATTCCGGTAATCGTTGGTTTGACAAAACCATGCAGGTGAGTTAGAAATATCAAAAATATATACAAAGTGATGGTAAGTCAAAAAAAAAAATTATTTAAATCAAGGATATGAAAATTTGAGCCCCTGGGAACTCCCTTCAAATTGAAAATGTAAGGACCCCCAACATGAGCCACAGAAAAAGCTATATCTTTGCCAAAAATCATCCGATTCTTGAGAGGAATGCCTTAAATGATTTGTTCATCGTTTATCCATCGATCTGCATCAAAATCTAGCAACGAAATATTTTTTCGATTTTTTGTCAAATTTCTAGGGGGTTCCCTTCAAAATGTTTAAAATGTATGGACCCCCAATATGAGCCACAGAAAACGCGATATCTTTGCCAAAAGTCATCCGATTCTTGAGAGGAATACCTTAAATGATTTATCAATCGATTATCCATCGATCTGCATCAAAACCTAGCAACGAAATATTTTTTCGATTTTTTGTCAAATTTCTAGGGCGTCCCCTTCAAAATGTTGAAAATGTATGGATCCTCAATATGAGCCACAGAAAAAGCTATATCTTTGCCAAAAATCATCCGATTCTTGAGCGGAATGCCTTAAATGATTTGTTAATCGATTATCCATCGATCTGCATCAAAATCTAGCAACGAAATATTTTTTCGATTTTTTGTCAAATTTCTAGGGCGTCCCCTTCAAAATGTTGAAAATGTATGGATCCCCAATATGAGCCACAGCGAAGTCTATATCTTTGTCAATACTCATCCGATTCTTGAGCGGAATACCTTCAACGATTTGTGGAAGGATTCTTCATCAATCTGCATCAAAATCTAGCAACGAAATATTTTTTCCATTTTTTGTCAAATTTCTAGGGCGTCCCCTTCAAAATGTTGAAAATGTATGGATCCCCAATATGAGCCACAGCGAAGTCTATATCTTTGTCAATACTCATCCGATTCTTGAGCGGAATACCTTAAACGATTTGTGGAAGGATTCTTCATCAATCTGCATCAAAATCTAGCAACGAAATATTTTTTCGATTTTTTGTCAAATTTCTAGGGGGTCCCCTTTAAAATGTTGAAAATGTAAGGACCCCCAACATGAGCCACAGAAAACGCTATATCTTTGCCAAAAATCATCCGATTCTTGAGCGGAATACCTTAAACGATTTGTGGAAGGATTCTTCATCAATCTGCATCAAAATCTAGCAACGAAATATTTTTTCGATTTTTTGTCAAATTTCTAGGGCGTCCCCTTCAAAATGTTGAAAATGTATGGATCCCCAATATGACCCACAGCGAAGTCTATATCTTTGTCAATACTCATCCGATTCTTGAGCGGAATACCTTAAACGATTTGTGGAAGGATTCTTCATCAATCTGCATCAAAATCTAGCAACGAAATATTTTTTCGATTTTTTGTCAAATTTCTAGGGGGTCCCCTTTAAAATGTTGAAAATGTAAGGACCCCCAACATGAGCCACAGAAAAAGCTATATCTTTGCCAAAAATCATCCGATTCTTGAGCGGAATACCTTAAATGATTTGTCAATCGATTATCCATCAATCTGCATCAAAATCTAGCAACGAAATATTTTTTCGATTTTTTGTCAAATTTCTAAGGGGTCCCCTTCAAAATGTTGAAAATGTATGGATCCCCAATATGAGCCACAGAAAAAGCTATATCTTTGCCGAAAATCATCCGATTTTTGAGCGGAATACCCCAAATGATTTTTCGACCGATTATCTGGAATGTGTATTAATTTAAAACTTTTGCCTCCTTTCCAGCTTATTATCTGTACCGATGGTACTTGGGGTCTGTGCTATGAGCACTCAACTTCTGAGGGAATTGCTGTGGTGCAACTGCTGGAAAAGATTTACAAGAACATTGAGGAACATCCGGCCGAGGATAATGGTCTGCCCCAGCATCACTTGCCGCCACCGGAGCGCCTGGAGTGGCATGTCAGCCAGCAGATAAGCTTGCGGTTCGGGCAGGCCTCCAAGACCGTGGACAGAGCCATAGATGATCTGGACTTCTACGTGTACCGGTACCAGCATTACGGAAAAAGCTTCATCAAATCCTGCCAGGTCAGTCCGGATGTTTACATCCAGCTGGCCCTCCAACTGGCTCACTACAAGCTGTACGGTCGCCTGGTGGCCACCTACGAAAGCGCTTCTACCCGGCGATTTCTTCATGTGAGTTTTTCGTTGAAAACTATATAATTTTACAAACACTAAGCTTGTTTGATTGTTGACCTACTTTCAGGGCCGAGTGGATTGCATCCGAGCTGCCAGTTCGGAGGCCTTGGAGTGGGCCAAGGCCATGTGCCAGGGTGAGGGCGCCAATGTTCCTCTGGAGAGCGATCGCGAGGACGAGGAAGAGTCACGCAAGGTCAAGTTTAGCATTTACAGTGTGGGTATTTCTCTAGCTGATGCTTATGCCCACCGTCTCTGGAACGAGTAGCTTATATGCATACTTTTCTGCCAACCCACAGAAGGATCACTTGCGAGAACTCTTCCGTTGCGCCGTAGCCCGCCAAACCGAGGTGATGGTCAAGAACATCCTGGGCAGTGGCATTGACATCCCGTTGCTGGGACTCCGGGAAGCCAGTGTGGAGGTAACCGGCGAAATGCACGAGCTCTTCACGGACGAGTCCTACAAGATCTCGCAGTGCTTCCTGTTGTCCACCAGTCAGGTAGTAATCGGTCATCAAAATCCTTGCTCTTTGCCCCGCATTGCACTTTATTCACCCTTGCACCACTTAATATAATCTTGCACCCCTGCACAGAAAGCACCATCAAGCTGAAAAAAGGTTCCAAAAGGTATCTACAAAATTATAGTAGTACTACATGATGCTACAGAAAATGAAGAAGGTTCTCCGAGAACTAATAATCTTAACATATCCTTCCGGAAAACAGGTGGCCTGCAGCACGGATAGTTTCATGGGTTATGGCCCGGTGACACCGCGAGGCTATGGCTGCTCCTATAATCCGCAACCGGAGCAGATCGTCTTCTGCGTGTCGGCCTTCTACTCCTGCGAGGACACCAGTGCCTCGCGCTATGCCAAGTCACTGCAGGATTCGCTGGACATCATGCGCGACCTACTGCATAATTAACGAGGCATCATCGCACAGATCGATGAGCAACCGAAACATATCAGCAAATGTACCTTAGCAGGTTAGCGAACGAAACTAAAAATAAGTAAGTGTAACTAGCGACCGCCCGGGCGTTTCATTTGTGACCAAAGCACCACCAAGCGAGCCACCCAACGAGGGTGGGATCCGAGGGATCTCCGCGGATAATGAGAAAGAATCGAAAACTAATGTCAATCACTACCATGTTGAGACGAAATCCTATTTGTGCAGCAACCCATTTGCTTTAACTATCCGTTTACCTTAGTCTATATAGAACATAATCCTTGTAGTTCGTTGTAGAGCAACTCTAGTCAATTAAATGTGTTTTAGAGCCATTTTATGTGGAAATTGAAAACTGTTAGTGCTGTTATCTGAATGTGTTAATTGTGAAATATCTAATGAAATATTCTGATTGTTATTCTATATCTAAATGCTAACGAAATTAGCCGAGCTTCGATTTGTTCCCTGATTTAAACTAATAAGCCCCCAAGTATGCAATACTTTGTTACAAGCGTTAAGTTTCAGATACGTTCTAATAGGTGTTACAAATAAATTATAAAAAATACTAACCAAAAACATTAACCAAAAGTAATCTATGCTTGTTACTGCAGTTTCGTTGTTGTTCGTTTGAGAAATTATGAAAGTAAAGAAATCATATAGTGTCTGTTGAGAAGTTTCAATAAATATATTCGTGTTTTAGAGAGCAAAGTGGTATACCGTAACTACAGGCTTTTTGGATGAACATATATGAATGAATATACAACCCAAAGAATAAATAAAAAGAAATTGTAGAAGATTATATATATAGATGTATATGCGTATAGACTTGAGAGGTAACAATACATATCAATAAATTTATATACACCCCCGGGAAGGGTCTTCAAAAAGCTATAAGAATTTTCTCAACAAGGTAACCAAAGATCGAAAGCTAAAAAATATATAAAGATATATGTTTGTCTGTTCGAACTGTTAGTGAAAAATGTATATGTTTCGGTAGTAATTCGAAGCTATTAATATTCTAAAACAGAAAATATATACACTTACAAAATATACGTATGTTATTTACAAGAGAAATTTATGTGAAACGTTAAAGGACAACCAGATTCATACTATATCAAACTAGTTGCTGTGTTCATTGTTGCTATATATGTATTATTATCTAGACCATCTAACTGTTAACCGATCTATCCTACTCCAACTATATCCTGAATTCAGACTACATGTAATTCTGTTTCCTTGGTGTTCGCCGTTAAGTTTCATCCCCAGTTTCAATGGCCCCCGAGGCCGCAGTTAATGTATGCAAAAATAATCACCAAACAAATAAAATAAAATAAATGCATTCCAAGTAAGTTGGCTTATTCCTGACCTACAATTGATCTGTCCCTGAAAATACCTTCCACTATATACGTACATACATATATCTTTGATCATGTGCGTGTCTGGGATTTGTCATAAATTCCACGGAATTGATAAATCGTCTTCCGCAAAACAATATACAAAAAATAGTTCTTTGTTGGGCAGTTCGTGGTATCCAAATCCAAGGAATATACCCGATAAGCGAGCCACGATAAACCCAAGCCAGATATAGTATTTTGGTTATTTAATTAATTATAAAAAGAGATATAGCCATGGTCTCTCGCAGAAGCCATAAAAACCGCCAGGCCCCAACGTCCGGTCAACAGTTGTGGAAATACAATCAACATGAAATGTAAGTAACTTTAAAGGATTCGAAGGAACAAGTTTTATAAACTCTTGCATGTCCTTGCAGTCCTTAATCTGCTGCTCAGCATCTGCCTGATCTTCGCGATCTACGCCCCCTGGGCCATGGGCCAATTCTCCAGCCTATCGCCTCCGGATCCAACCCCGCCGACTGGATCTCCCTCGAGCGGTAGCTCCACTGCCCAGGAGGGACCTCCAGTTGCCTCCTCTACTCCGGCCGTTCCCTTGGAAAGCACAATATACCCCATCTACTAAATGGTGTTACAAAATTAAAGATTCCATTGGCAATTATACCTAGTTACACGTACTTTTTACTCTAAATTAAACGACTCGGGATACGGTAGTAAGGTGTGTTTGTTGTGTTTACTTCATACGGGTTATATAATGTCCAACATAAAACTAGGCGATGACATTCACATAAACTAGACACTAGACATAACTGCCCACCGGTGTGCATATGCTTGGGTCATATGTACGGGTGTGGTCAATAAAACAAACGGAGGTGTTCGATATTTAAGCACCGTGGCCAAAATTAGCTGGTTGCCACATTCCGCCGGAAGGAGCCGCGCACCTGCACTTGCAACTGCTCGCTGCTGCACTCGTCTCGGCCATACTGCAAGAATAAAGAAATTATTGTAGGTTTCACTCTTTCCAGATTAATCCGAGGGGCTTATACCTTGCAAAAGTTCTGCTCCAGAAGCTCCACGGCCGTTAAACGCTGCTTGGGATCGTGCTGCAAACAGTGGTCAATAAAGTCGTGTCCCTCTTGAGAGAGGCTCTCCGGAGCTTGCGGCTTCTCGCCCATGCCCACCTTGAACATGATCTGGAAATTGGAATCAAACTGGGCCCAAGGACGCTGTGGGTAAAGAAGGAAAAATACCGTGATTAACTCAACATTGTGAAATAGACTCTACAAGGGCAGACTAATCTTTCCCTTACGTAGCAGTGCTTATCTTTGAATCCAATCACTCACCTTGCCCGAGGCCATCTCCACCACCACGCAGCCCACCGACCAGATATCGGCTGCTCGGCCATGTCCGTCACTGTTCGTCTTGGTAAACACCTCCGGCGCCATGTAGGCCTGTGTGCCCACGTAGCCCTGCAGTTCCCCAGGCACCGTGGTGTGGGCCTGGATCTTTACCGCCGATCCAAAGTCACCCAGCTTCAGGCTGTTGCTGCCGTCGACCAGGAAGATGTTCGCAGTCTTGATGTCGCGATGCACGATTCCGTGCTTGTGGAGCTCGGCCACACCGGACAGTAGCTGGGCGGTAAACCGTCGGGCCAAGGCCTCCGGCAGACCTCCGGTTAACTCTACTAGCGATTCCAGAGTTCCCTCAGAGCACAGCTCCATGAAGATGAGCAACTCTTCGCGGTGCACCTCAATGCCGTAGTAACGCACCAGATTTTTATGCTTGATGCCTTCGAGAATCTTTAGCTCCTCGGCCACGTTCTTCAGGGCGCGCGTCTCTCCCGGCTGGATGGCGATCTCCTTCATGGCCATCAGCTCGCCCGAGTTGTTGTTAACAGCCGTATAGACCTTGCCGAACCGGCCCTGACCAATCTTGATTCCGCGATGCCACCTGAAGTTGACACTACGTGCCCTTATGTGCACCTTGTCGGTGGAGTTTAGGGCCTTCACTTGGCCTATGAGCCTGCGCTCCCGTAACCTCTCCTCCAGATCCAAGTCCAGACGGTTTACCGCATCTCTCACCCGTTCCTGCCGCAAAGCCAAGGGGGTACTCTCGATGCTGCCTTTTCCGGAAGAGGCCGGTGTGGGCGGCGTTTGGGGAACAAGTAATCGGAGCTCTCCGTTGGGACTTCTTTGACAGGGCGTGTCTACGTAGTCGGTGCTATCTATGGAGCTATAGGTGTTTCCAGACTGCTGAAGCATGTCCTCTTTTAAGCTAAACTGCGGGTGCAGAAGTTTGTTATACGGCGGCGACTGAAGTGGCGGTGTGTTTGGGTTCAGGACGACTCCCGCAGACATAGGAGTTCGGGTTGGTGTTCTCGAGCGTGAGGTGGCCGGTGAGGAGGTCTTTCTCGTGCGTGGCGAAGCTTTCTTTTTGGCCACCTTCTCCGGCTCCGAGGTGATGCCAATTACGTGCGATATACAGCGGTCCATTTGCTGTTTGAGCTCCTCGAACTGGTGCTCGTCCAGGTGCTGGGTGATCTGCGGATCGCAGGCAAGAATAAGGAACTCGAGGCCCTGGAAGGCCCAACGGGGACGCATGCCACGACCTCGTTCGCAGCGTTCCATCACGAAGTGCATCCACATCTTGGCATAGGAAATAATGCCCAGTGCCAGATCAACCGTGTAAGCACCGCTGTCCTTCTGGTCCATGATGCGCTGCTCGAACAACCGGATCACGTCCTTGTGGTACTCGAAACCAAACTTGTAACCCTGGTGCAGAATTTCGCGCGATCGCGACAACACCGCCAGCTTGTCCTGCTCATCGAGGTCTCGCATGTTGCTGAGGCAGCAGCGGTTTTGAACGCCAAGGATGATGGACGTCAGTTTGTTGCGCACCTCCAGGACATCGTGCTGTAAGAGTTTAAACGCCGCTTTTACATCCGAGCAGATGAAATCGTGTTGATGGTTGGCCACATCGTGCTCATAGTGCTCCCTATGGAAGTCCGTCGTCTCGACGTCCCGACAGAAGGTCTTGGCAAAGAACAGAACCTTGATGGAGCGCTCCCTTTCAACGGTTAGCAGCTGTTGGGTCTCCCGGCATATGGTCAGCAGTTGCCACTTGACCTCCTCGCTGTCATCGCTGTCAGCGGTGACCTCGATCTGCTTGTCCAGCTCCTCGGTTCTTTTGACCAGGCGCTCTGAGATATTTCGCAACAACTTGCTGATGATCCCACAGAACTTCTGCGAGGCCAGAGTGTGCATTCCGGTTATCATTGGACTGATTAGTTTCGTGAACATCCACTCCTTCTCCAGCACAGACTTCTGGTTTCCCTCGGGAACAGCCACCAGAACCAACTGATCGATATAGTCCAGATACAACTCGAACGTTTTCCTAACGGTGGCATCATAGTGATTCAAAATGCTAATGTAACTGCCCAGCTCCGCCTCATTCTCCACCAGGGCCGTGGTGATGTGACGCTGATAGCGCTCCCGATGAGTCAATGCCAGTGTCAGGCCCTCCCGCAGCTCCTTCATCAGCTGCTCCAGACTCAGGGGATTTGGTCGGACTGGTCGCGTTTCCAGGCGCATGCGCAGGAACTCGTGCATGAATTGCAAGGGAATGCCGCTCAGAAACACAAAGGTTGGAATGTAAGACGGCAAATTGATGGACTGCGCCTCCTCGCTCCAGTAGCCGTAGGTGCGCAGCTCCACAACCTGCTCGCGACTGATCTGCGGATCCAGCCGTGGCACATCCTCTTCAATTGACTCGGCATCCGATTCGGTGTCGAAGTCGTCGATTCCGGGCTTTTCCAGAGCAATGTGTGCCTTGTACAGAGCCACGTTGTGTAGCTTGTGGAGGAAGGCCAAGGACTTGGCCAGTCCTCGGCTCTTTAATACATTTTCGATGAACTTGCGGTACAGAGCGGATGACTGTTCTCCACTGCCGTCGTTGCTGCACGTGCCCAACGGCTCCACACTGAAGATGTTGATGTCATGCATGGAACCCTTGCGCAACTGCCCGTGCGAGCACTCGCTCGACAGCTGGCTAATCTCCGTGGAAGTGGATCTGCAAAGGAGAGTATTATTTACAGCTTAAGTTTGATTAGTTGAAGGACTCACTCATTGCTACTGGAGGTCTCTCCAGGCACATGCGTCTCATCGTTCAGCATAAACTGCACTTTGTGGCAGGCTGTTACGCTTCCGTTGCGGCAACCTTTGCGCGAAACTGATCCTGCAACGCTGGGCGGCTTGGAGGAGTCCATCGAGTTGACTGCCGAATCGTCGTTCTCCACACCTGAGGCAGACGAGTTGCCGCTGTCGGAGGCGATGTAGGATGAAGTGCAAACTGGCCAAGAAAACTTCTCATCCTGCAGCCTGGCCAGGATTTTGCCCAAAATACTGAGCTTGAGCTTGTTCTGCTTCGTAATATTGTACCAGAGGCACATGGACTTTATGCGCCCCACGAAGCTCTGCGACTTGTAGATGGGATGCAGTGCTCCCATGGCCTGAGAAGAGGGATACAGAGCCTCCGCTGCCTCCAACCGTGTCAGCATGCCCTCCACCTCGCGCAAAGCCAACTCCTGGTTGTCCATGCAGTCCTTGCAGTACAAGGACAAGCAGCCCTGGCACAGTTTGCTGGGCAGAGGAGCTGAAAAGATTTTGAGTTAGTATTTATCCCAAAAGGTGATCCTTCTAAAGACTTACAGCTGGCATTGGAATTGCTGTCGGAGTGAATTCCACTATCCAGGCTGATTAGGCTCGGCTCCCGACGATATCGTGGCTGGAACTTGTAGCTGATGATCTGAGTGAGCAGATCGGAGACACCCTGACGTGCCTCAAACAAATACTTGTCCTGCTGCTCGACAGTTCGATCAGCCTGCCAAGCCTGCAACTCCAGCCAGATGAGATCCTTGAGCTCCGTTTGCCAGGTGTGCTCCTCCTGGGAGGGCTTGGCATCCTGCCGGTCGACACTGCCTAGCTTGATCAGATTGGCGAACGTCTCATGGAAGTCCTTGCGTTTTCCCAGTCCAGCGGAGGCTCTCCCATCGGGCCTCAGCAAGCCTGCTGGCAGTTGGGCGGCAAAAGCCAGCGGAGGAGCAGAGGATCGGTAGCCAATGGGGCGCGACGACACGCAGCGATACCGATTACAGCTCTCCACCACCTTGGAGGCGATGCGCAGCGGGATGGGAGGCGCATTGTCCGAACTGAGAGGCATGATCTTATCCAGCGACTCGAGCGGATTGGCAGTCTCATGGAAGCTGTTGCCACGGGGCGGCGCCACGGCCGTCGTGGCCAGCGAATTCTTCATCTCCCTCTCCGAGTCGCGGAGAAGGGACTGCAACCGCTTGTCCGTCCGCTTGTTCTCCTCGTTTACGAACATTTCGTTGAGGAGAGCACAGTCCATGGTGTTGCGCCGCAGGACACGGGAGCGGGCCATCCTAGTCATGCCCTTCTTGGGGGTGCCACTGGCACTGGCCGGTAAGTCTGTGGAACTGAAAAGGCATTCATTAAAAGGCGTTTAATGCATTTTTGAAATCCGCAACAATTTCAACCGGCAATCAGTGATGACATCAGCCATAGAGATGGCACCTGTCGGGTAAAGCATATGGTGGCATATGGCAGTGGAGTACGTCTGCTTTCGTTACTAGTGCGGACCACGCACATAGCACGGACGCAAACCCTTATCACGACCATGCCATATATTATATGCCATATGGATTACACCTAATTGGAATCGGAATACTTACGCCGCCACATTGGCCACCTTCTGCTTGCGTTCCCAGTCGCGGTTTTTGATTTTGAGCCTAGTGCGGGGTGGCGTGGTGCCGAACGCCTCATAGTGGGCCGTCAGCTCATCCTCTGGCGGCATGTCCTCCTCGAGGGCCCCAATCCGGCCGGCCATCTGCAGCGGTCGCGTCGGCGTCTGCTTCACACGGTATTCCACTCTGCAAGGGGATGAATGTCATGGTTCAGAGTTTATTGGCAATAATCTAAAGCCCTGGGATTGCCCTAATTGTTTTGCTAATTGGGCCGGGGGACAAGTACTAACTAATCGTTGATAAGTAAGATAAATATAGTGACTACACTCGGGGGAATCAAACTGAAGTCGATGAGTAAAACCCTTCACACATAATATGATATGGTATAAGCTTCTCTAGATCTCTGAGAAAGTGAGTATTTTTAAATAAAAACACTTATCTTTCAGGAAGAGTTTTTAGAATAATAAAATTCTAAGCCCTTTTTAAAGGTAACCCATTTAATGTTAGTGCATCACACAAACCTCAATAGGGTGGTAATTGGGGGAGGTATGGGTAAGGCTGGTAGGTAGGAGTTTTATCTTATCACACTGGTGCTGCTGCTGCTGCAGACAGGTCGCTTGTCACGCCTGTGATTATGCTTTAATTTGAGTGTTGGTTTGATTTATTCTTCAGCAACAAAAAACTGCCGATATCGAGGGTTTCAATTGTTTAGCAAATCGTACCACATTCTTTCATCAGCCCCAATAACCCTTCCATCGATACTCACTTTTTCCGACGCATTGTGCTTGAAGAGCCGGCTTCACGATTTCAGATGCACAATTTTCCCCAAATCTCAAAAGTCACAACAAGAAATCAAGAGCACTCTAAAAGCTGTGAACTCTCTGCCTCAACTTGTTGATAGTCGGCTTTAAAATTTGTGTTCTATCGCCTCGATCCAGCTCTCCGGTGGGTGCGAGAGTGGGTTCGCAGATTGTGAATCGGAGTCCCCCCTCCGCCAATTTATGTACATCTAATTGCACGGCACAACACTCGAGGGAACTCTCGGGTAAAAACAAATGAAAAACGAAAATAAAAAACAATTCACCGATCAGAGAGTAAATAAAAAAAAAAAGGAAAAGCGACAGCTCACAATTACAGAGCTGGTGGAGAGAACTTTAGACGGGGGAACCAGCGAACGATGACTGGTCCCCGGGTCCCCTTCTGATCCGGTAATATATATACGTATGTATTTACTGCTGGGGGGGGGTTTATTTAAGCACTATCTTCCGCAGTTCGGGATTTATCACAAATGGCAGCCGCAATTCGCACGCCGAACCCTTTCGAATTTCATAACGCTGCCGCAGTCAATTTATTAGCACTTTTAACAAGAATGTTCCCCATCTATTCCACCGAGGCGTATACTATATGGATCCGCGAATAAACTCTATATGCGAGTATATGTGTCCCTCCGCCAGCGACGACCACGACGCGGTGTCGGCCCCAAAACGACTGCTCCACCGCCGAGAACTCAACTTAGCGCGCAAATGTCGAGTGTCCGACGCATCCGATTGTTTCCCAGTGGTGACTATTTGGCTTTTTTTTATAAATAGTAATTATATACAACAAATTATATATACCAATTTAATTATAGATTAGAATTGCGCTTAGAAACTAAAAAAAAAGTAACTAGCTTAGTTTTTTTTTAGGCAAGGTCAGGCTGTAGTTTATTTTTTGTAACGATGATCTGGCATATTTTCTCTTAGCCAGAGCCACCACTATTGATTATAGCCAACAGCGAAGAGCAACTAGTGGGTGGCCCCCGCAGAGAGACCCCCAGAGAGAGAGCAAGCGGCTGTGGAACGCAAGTTGGTGGCTTGTTGAATTAAAGAGCAATCTGATCGCTTGTGGGCGCCATCGCGTTTGTTTGTGGTTTGTAATTGGCATCGACTCGGGACTATTTGTTATTAATTTATTGAATTTTATTATGTACGCGCTCGTTAGCTAATTAGCTGTGTTTACACAAACAGCGTGAGGTGGTGGGAGCCTCAGTATGTGCGCCAGCTGGCAAAAGTTTTCTTTTTGCAAATCGAAGGAATCGATACGAAGGCAGAAAATCAAATCAGTCAATCAAACTTCAGGCAGAGTCTATCAATATTAATGGGTATACACCCAAAATGGCATTTCTAGCGAGAAGTCACGTGAGCAACGGTGCGTATACTTGATATGCATACGGTGGTTTCGTTTACATATTACACATACGCCCCGTGGACACCATTGAGAGACACAATAGACGTCTTTGGATGAGTCATCTCGATCGTTTTCCCCCACTGACCGATAACGTTGTTTTTTTTATGGTTACCCAGCTGACGTTGGTGAGATATGCAGGCAAATAGGGAATAAGATTCCGTTTATTTATAGAATTATTCCACAAACTACATGTTTCTTGTACATTTTTCAAATAATATTTTGGAAAGCATTCCCTTGTCTAAACATTGTATTTCAAAATTGGTGCATACATAGGTAGTACCTATTCGTAAATCTAAAATTATTGTTAATGGCGGCGGCACGTGTATGGCAGGCCTGTATGTGAGTGTGGTGGTGGTACGTAATGCGGAAATGTTTTCGGCTATGTACTTGCCATAATTATGCTTATCAAACAGACGAAAACCAACTGATTGTATCGCACGCATGTGGGAGCGAGTGGGGTGTTCGCTGTGGGGAGACACCTGCAAGTTCAAGTACGAGTGTTGCAAGAGAGCGATCTACTGTTATTCTCTTTTAGATCGCGAGGGGAGACCTTCGCTATTGGAATTCCATTCATTTGGTGACTCGGTGACAAAATATATAAAATAACCCAAAACAAAGCTCTGGAAACTCGCAAAGAAAGCGAATTCGATTTCAAAGCAGAATTGTCCGGCTCGCATAACGAAAGAGGTTACAAAGCAGAGTGGGCAAGCGCACGTATTAAACGCGTTTTAACTTCCAGTGGCTGTCCCCACCGCCTTACCTGGGAGGCTTACCCCCCCTCCAAAAAAAACAGGTATGCGAACAGCCAAGAGGGAGATAAAGATGAAGAGAGAGAGCAGCAGCAGCACCAGCACCAGCAGACACATTAATTTCACCTAATTTCAATAGGAACAAACAGGTGCCAGGCTGCCTCAGATTTATATCTGCAGCGATTTTCATGCCAACATGCGACACATTCGTTTTTCGTGCGAATCCATCGATGCCTCAACAGGAAAAACAAATCAAACTAAATACAAAAAAAAAGGAAAAAATTCGTATATGTATGAATAAGCCACCGGGCCAAGAACAAACTGAAAAGGTGAGCGTATCTTCTAGTGTGTTTGTGTGTATCTTATCAGGCCACCGCCAAGCGTTATCAGCAAATATCTTGGAAGACTCCATGCCACGATAAATGTTTTGCACACGAAAAAAAAAAGATGATCAATTATTCAGTTTTAAAACCAATCATTAAGAATTTAAATCTTAAACAGAGTTCCTTAAACCTATTTCATAAGAGTTGAAAGTCTTGTGCAACTTTTGGTATAAAAACATGAAATTCATCCGCGAGATACAACCCTTTTTCCGTGTGTATGCCATGCCGTGTGTGCATATTTGTAATTGCGCTGTACACAAAGTGTTCAGTTTCAATTTCGGCCAGAATTGACTTTTTTGTGGCTGTCTTGCAGTTTGCAAAATTCTCGGGTTCATCGAGCCACAAAAAAAAACACGTTGTTTACGTTTTAACAATTAAAATCTGGTGAAATGCAAGCGTCCAAGCCAGCCAGCCAGCCAGCAAAACTGAGCAAGTTGTTACGTGAGTGGAGTCTTGGTCGATTTCGATGGGAAAACCCGGTGTTCCGGCTTACCTTGCCACATCCTCGTCCACGCTCTTCTCCCGCCGCAGTCGTATGGGCGGCACGGGGGGCGGGCCCGTATCTGGTGGTGCTCCCTCGTTGCCATTGCCATCCTCCTCCGCCTTCGCCTTCGCCTCCGCCCCGTTTGGGGCCGGCGTTTTTTGCTGGAGCTGCAGGGTTTGCTGGAGCGCCAGGTAATCAATTGTGCGAACTCTTCGGCGATTGTTTGACATATTCGCGAAATATATCTTTTCTTTTTTATTATTATTCTTGGAATTCTACGCTCGGGCACGCACACAATCCCACATTCTTCACACACCAACACCAACACACACACACTTTTTAGCACGCGCTGCGACGATAATCAGATTTATTTTAATTTAACTTTCACGGCGAGCAGACGACATAACGCGCAGCTCGTTGCTCCGTAGCTGGATCCAGGTAAACTACGGATACCAGCTGACTGCAAAGCTCAAGTGCTGGAAAGCACAAAATGTATCTCAACAGCTGACAAAGTGGTGTTAGGAACCACCAAAAAGATACTTTTTTCCAGATACTCTTGGGAGGGCTTTTCAAAAATGTGTTATGTTTGCATTTACATACATATTTAATCTTTTTAATTTATAACACTAACTTTTTATTAGTCATTACTAGTACGAGAGAACGAGGTCAGCATCTGAACTGATAAGGGCACTTTTTTGGAAATTTTATTTATTTAGTAACAAACTCTAGCCTGTGTACAAAAGCAACGTTTACGGATAATAGAAACACTCACTTGCCCAGGGCAATTATTAAACAAGAGTTAAGAACTACAGTAACTATTTGGGATTGGGCCTTAACAAAAACGAAAAAAATTGAACTATTATATCGACAAGCCTAGAAAAAATTCCTGAATATGCGGACAACGGCCTGAACCCAGCGAGGCACTGGTCGCAGGACAATCTCCCGTTCCGCCGTCTGCGCCAGGTCGTACAACCGGTCTGCCTCGGCCTGCAGCCGCTGGCTCAGATCCTTGTTAGCCGTCACCAGGCATACCTGGGTCTCCAGATCTCGATTGACAGACCGCTCGCCAAAGTTCGAGGAGCCAATCAGAGTGAGGTTTGGAAGCCGCGCCTCGGGGAGGTAGTACCACAAGCCTTTGGCGTGGTATGTCCAGCCGGGTTTTTCGTACTCGAAGAAGTTGACGCGGTGATTCTGTTGCCGGCGCACCAAACTCTCGTAAAAGCTCTTGGCTATCAAGGTGTAGGCTGCCGGAATGCCTCCAGCTACTCCCTTGGCGCCCTGGAAACCGTTCGCCTGGGGAAGAAGAGGATTAATTTAGCATAAGGGGAGTGAAGCATGGAAAACTTACATTTGGGTGAGCCATCAGGATGCTGCATTGTGCCAGACACTTGTGCGTTATGGTGTCCATATACTCCTGCGTCAGATTGAAGTAACCCGTGGCCAGCTTGAGCCTTGATCCTGCCACGCAATTGGAGAGCAATCGTTTCGTCACCACGCTGTCGTGATGTATTCCTATTTGCCCCATCTCCAGCAGCGGAAACACCCATGTATCTGCCTGTGGATTTTGCTCTCTGACACGCGCTTGTCGCTGAAAGGTCTCTTGCACAAAGTCCGCAATGCGTTGCTTGGCCAACTGAATAAACTGATCTTTGGTACCCTCGTACGGCAGTATTTTCCAGTTTCGGTGCAGCCCTTCGCTGGAATCTGGCGCAACCGCCAAACTAAATTCCTGCACTCTCTCTATAAACTGGGCATAAAAATCGGCCAACGGCTTGTCCTCGATGAGTATGTAGCGATCCTGGCGGTTGGTAAAGTAATCGTTGGACAGATTCGCTCCGGATATAATCACCGCATCGTCGAAGAGGTAAACCTTCATGTGCTGCAGCCCGAAGAGCTCGTTCCAACGAGGAGGCGCCAGCCGTTTCGTCATGCCACGCAAATCAGGAGTGTGGTAGAGGGAGAGTTGCACCTGGCTGGCAAAGTCGCGCACTAAAGGCAGTAGCATTGTCTTGGAGTTGTGGGCTCCACGAGTCCCACGGGTGAAATCCAAGAGCACATTGAGCCTCAAGGAGGATTCAGACTTCAGACTATGACGCAACTTTTGCACCATCGCGTTTTCCAACTGACCGGTTCCCAAGTAGAGACTGGCCAAGACGATCCGGCGCTTGGCGTGGGCTATGCGCTGGACCAGAGTATCGTAGAATTGTTGAGGCTCATGGATGACTCTGATCTGGTCGCCGCGCAGCGGGAAGCACGGAGCAAGATTGTGTAACCACGTGAGGCTCTCCAGGGCGGGTGCTCCACTGAATCCGTTGGCCAACAAGCTAGGAGCCTGCTGCAAGCATCCGAGGAAATCACCGTGGGTGGCCGGAGCCAGCTCCTGGCTGAACCATCGACGTAGATAGAACATTATGTAGTGCGGCAGGAGGCGTCGTTTGGCGGTTTAACTACGAACGGTGATGGGGGCCTGTAGGACTCTTGCGCATTGTTCACTGTCGGCTAAACGTTATCTGGTGTTCGCTTCCATTCATCAGACGCGAGTTTTAGGGCTCAAAACTTGGGATTTCAGCACGTAAATATTTCCGGGCTACACCAGGTGGGAGTGTTGCAAAGCGTGCTTGGTTCTGGTTGTCGTGTTGGTAAATGGTTTTTGAGCCGAACATATGATTTCAAACGGGCCACAGAAGCCCCTAAATTTGAAAAATAATGTAAATAAAAGTTATTTTTTATTATTAGTCTGTAAATATATAAATGAATATTAAAAACAACGTTTTTAAATAACAACTTCCTTTACAAAATTACTATAAGAAACTGGGCTACAGTAACTATAATTGTAAAGTTTTCCGTCTAATTATATTAAAGCAAATATTACCCGTTATGTAATAATCAGCTTTATCAAAAGTTAATACAGTTAATTGAAAAATTTTTAAATTCCATTAACAAATGCTTTTATTTTCAGTCTGAAGTGCAGCCTTTACTCACTAACCGGTAACGCAATTACGAACCGGATAAATGGATAACGGATAAGGTTTGCGAACTAGTTCGGAGCCAGTTCCGAAAAACAAAAAATCAGCAAAAAAACAAAAAAGAGAGATTTTTCGGATTAAGAAACGAAAAAATTATTAGTCAATTGATAAAAACTCGTTCTTACAATTGAGGAGCAACGCCAGCGACAGCGATAGCCTCCAGACACTAGCAGTCCAGTCCACTTCAGTCCAGTTCGAGCAGAAAAGCCAAGTCAAAGAGCGCAGTCTGCCAACAGAGAGAATCACAGGAACGGGTAACGAGGAACTCGGCAGCAAGATGTCCTGGACGGAGAAAGTGGACCCGGAGCTGATCTTCACCAAGCAGGAGCGCATCGGCAAAGGCTCCTTCGGCGAGGTGTTCAAGGGCATCGACAACCGCACCCAGCAGGTGGTGGCCATCAAGATAATCGACCTGGAGGAGGCCGAGGATGAGATCGACGACATCCAGCAAGAGATCATGGTGCTGTCGCAGTGCGACTCACCATACGTGACCAAGTATTATGGCAGTTTTCTGAAAGGCACCAAGCTATGGATCATCATGGAGTACTTGGGTGGAGGCTCTGCCCTCGATTTGATGAAGGCCGGCTCCTTTGAGGAGATGCACATCGGAATCATATTGCGGGAGGTGCTCAAGGGCCTGGACTACCTGCACTCCGAGCGTAAGCTGCATCGCGACATTAAGGCGGCCAATGTCCTGCTCAGCGAGCAGGGCGACGTCAAGCTGGCCGATTTTGGTGTTGCTGGACAATTGACCAACACTACGTCGAAGCGAAACACGTTTGTGGGCACGCCCTTCTGGATGGCACCGGAGGTTATTAAACAATCGCAGTACGACTCCAAGGCGGACATCTGGTCGCTGGGTATAACGGCCATCGAGCTGGCGAAGGGAGAGCCACCCAACTCGGAGCTGCACCCTATGCGCGTACTCTTCCTAATTCCGAAGAACAATCCGCCACAGCTGACGGGAAATTATACCAAGTCTTTTAAGGACTTTGTCGAGGCATGCCTTAACAAGGACCCGGAGAACAGGCCCACAGCTAAGGAACTGCTCAAGTATCCGTTTATCAAAAAGGCCAAGAAAAACGCCTACTTGATTGATCTGATCGATCGCTTCAAGAAGTGGAAGCTGTCCAAGGGTGACGAGAGCGAGACGGAGTCGGAGAACTCCGATTCAGATTCCGATGCCAAGCAGGGTGGTAGCAGCCAGGACGAGCCCTGGATTATGACTGTCAAGGGACTGCACATCAACAGCGCTCCGCGGGCGGGCGTTAATAGCTTCCAGCTCCAGGAGCACGAGCTCACCATGCAGAAGCTAATGCAGACCACACACTCGCCAGCCGGCACATCCGTGATGGCCTCTTCCTCCACCGTCGCCTCGGCTGCCGTTGTTTCGCCAGCCTCAGCCGCTTCCGTGGCTGTGATCACAGCCAACGAGGCATCTACATCCGCATCCGCCCAGCCTCCGAACCACAACCACATTATCAACAATAACAACAATATTAGCCACAGCAACTTGAGCAACAAGCACGCTACCACCACCATGCTGAACGCAGCTCCTCCGCCAAGCGATCTGCAGGCAAAACGCTCCAGCTCCAAACCGGAACTACGCCAATCGCGCTCCGCCGCTGCCTTGGATCAAATGGAGGACCGACGCGCCTCCCTACAGGCTCCGATTTCCAATCTGTCTTCGGCTGAGCAGCAGCAGCGCCGCAGCAGCCAACGCGAATCATTCCAGGCAATAAACGCTGCTACCAGCAGCCATAACAGCATCAACAACGACGAGCCACATGTGACCACCAATCATACTAAGACTGGAACGGGTCAACGTCTTGTGCAGACCAACAGCGCCTGTCTGAACAACTTCCTATTCCCCGTGCTGACCGACATCCAACGAAAGTACTCTTCCAGCGCGGCAGGACCTGGTGGCGCCGGGCGTAACCTTGGTGTGGGCAGCGACATCGGTGACCTGAAGTCCGTATTCGAACTAGCCGAACGCTCCAGTCCTGGAGTGAGCGACCTCTTCATGAAGGAACTGATCCACATGCTAGTGCCGGGCTACTCGGAGACGCGCATTAACACGATCATTGACCGCGCCATACGCAACCGAAAGTAGAGGCGGTAGTGGCCAGCCGCAACTAAATTCGATTCCAATCAACCAATCTTACTATATACACTACACTTTATCTAACGAGAAAAGCAGCTGAGAGAGCAGAGACACCGGGACACCGGAGATACTGAAACCGAAACATATTCCGACATTCAGTGGCCAACGAAGAAGCGGGAGCGATGTACATGTATTTCAATTGAACAGTTATTTAAGCATACAATATGTATTCGTTTGTTTATCTGCAATATTAATCTAATGTAAAACATATATAACTTCAGAATAAAAATCACACAAAACATAATTTGAATTTACCGGGTGATGGGCAGCACTGTCCAAAGATATGGGTCACACCGACACCAGGTTTTAAAATTAACAGAAATTAAATATTGATTAAATTCAAAGAAAAAAAGATACAAACACTCGGATATTTGTAACATATATTTTTATTTTATTATTTATACAGACTATATACTTTTATTTTTAAAATTTCATTAGAATATTTTCGCAGCATAGTTTGGCGCTCAGACTACGGTCACACTAATGGCAACTCGGCCATGTTTTACAGCGATTTAATTAATTTCTTTTTTGATATTCTAAATTAAATCCAACTTATTTAATCCAACTATCTAATGCCCTCTAACCATGTCTCAGGCACTGGTAAACGAAGAAACATTGGAAAACCTGACCTTTCAACGCTCCAAGAAATGGGCGAGCCACTTAAAGGTGAGTACCCAAACAGTTATTTCCATTGGCGTCTTCTATTAATTGTGAATGCCTCAGCATCTGGAAAGTATAGATGACGGCGAGGAACTGGACGCGTCGGACTTCGAGGATCTGTTCCAGGATGAAGGGGAGGATCCGGGGTCTAACGATTCGGAAGCAGAAGCGGTAGAGGATAATAACGATCCGGAAGCCAATGTGGACATTGGCAACATCCATAATGTCACCGCCAATATGAGCGCCGCGGAGTTGACTCTCATGTTGTGCGCCGGTGAGAACAACGAAGCCAAGGCCGAAATGGAGGAAATTCTCAACCAGACCATTCCCATCGTTCAGGAGCACAAACGCAAGTGGAAGGAGGCAGGGCTAGACCGCATCCTGGACACCTTTGACGAGAATCAAATTGAAAAGCACGTAGGAGAGTGGATGCAACGCCACAACAGCGTCTACATTAAGGCCACCGAACAGAAGAGAGAATCTATACCTCTGAAATACCATCGATACCCATATGAACGGAAGCCGCGATGGAGTGATCACGACCAAAGTGACAACGAGTCGTTGCATTCGATCGATACCGCACGTTATATACGTCAGAGCCGTCGTTGTATGACCAACAAGCTGCCCAATCTGACCACCATCAAAATGTACCGAAAACATTCCCATAAGCGGGACGAGCTGAGGGCCAAGTACGCTTATGATGACGAGCAGGAGCACCGCCACCACATGCAAACCCTGCTGCACCGACGTCGCGAGAAAAAGCGCCACCTGGCCTACCTGACGTCCAGCCCGAGACACTGCCGCCTCTCGGTCACTGTTGGCGGACACCACTCTCGGCGAAAGCATCTGAGCAAGCGCCGCGCCGACTCCTCATTATTTGATTCCTCTTCTAGTGACGAAGACGACCACTCCTTTGGTGGCTGCGACTGTCGCAATTGCCGCAGACAATATGCTTTGTCCAGGAGCAGCTATCAGTGCTGTTCCTATAGAGGACTCAGGGAGGAATACATGCATTCTGCTTCACGCTCTTTTCACCACATGCGTCACTACCATCGCCAGGAGCTGGACATACGGCCGCGCGTGCGCGAGAACGAATGCAGTTGCTGCAACAGCGACCGGCTATGTTCCCAAGCTGTGCACATTGCCAACAGTTCCACCGAGGAATGGGTTGTGGAGAACAATAGTCCGGTGGAGTTGCCGCCGCACCAGACGCCAAGTAAGTGTCGCAAGTTAGTGGCTGTTGAAAGGACTACTCCACAATCGGTTCGATACCGCGGTCATCTGCCTCATTCATCCAAATCTAAAGTTACGCCAAGTTCTAAGCTCCAAGTTCAATTGAATTATAAAGAACGAATATCATCTGAGGGCGATTCTTCTGATTCGAATGTCGCTCGATCTAAGAAACCGATTTTCGAAGCAGATAAAAAATCGAAAATTTTAACCACTCCAAAAAGTTGCTTGAAATCATCACAAAAGTCGTCCTCAACGACGAAGAGAACCACCAAGCAAAAGACGACAAAAACCTTACCCAAAATAGCTGAAGAAGAGGTTATTGCCGATGCAACGCCCAGAAAAAGAGACTCCAGTGGGCAGCCGACTTCTAAGAAAGGGGAAGCCTTATCGAATAATGACTCAACCGATGTATTCGAAACCCTTGAACAAAGGAGTCTTTCAGAGTCTAAGCATATTTCCTCTAAAAGATCGTCAACAATTTTAGAATCAGGGGAAAAGAGTTCAGGCAGTATTTCCTTACGCATTCCCGTTGATGTGTCTCATATTAAACCCCTAAAAATGGAAGAACATGATAAGACTTTGGCCTACGAGAATGAAATCCAGAGGAGAGGAAGGCCGAAAAAAGAAAAGAAGGAGACCGATACAACTGCAGAGCGGGAAAGATCTCTAACCAATGAAGACTTGACCTCCGAGAATAAAGTAGAGAGAAGAGGAAGGCCGAAAAAAGAAAAGAAGGAGACCAATACAACTGCCGAGCGGGAAAGATCTGTAACCAATGAAGACTCTGAAGAGTCATCAGAAGGTCCTGTCTTGGGACGAAGGCGATTAGTCAGTTTTTCAGAATCTCGTGGAAGGCCATCTAGGAAAGCCCGGAAAGAAAAAGAATTGGAGACAGAAGAAAATCTAAATAAAGAAAGGAAAGTTAAAACAAAGACTAAGGAACCTGAAGAGGGTAAAAAACCCAAGACAAATTCAAAATTGTCCAAGAAGTCTAATCCGGCAGAAGCGAAGTTGCCGAAAAAGTCGAATCCGGTAGAATCTAAACCCAAATCGACAACGAAAGGGAAAGAGAGTACCAGACCCCCCCGAAAGGAAGCCACAACGAACATAAGTCCGGACTCTCAGTCGAATAAACACAAGGAGAACAATTTGAACGAATTATCCGATTCCGATGAGGATCTAAAGAAAGCCCTCCTTTTGTCAAAGAAAACATACCAGGAGGAACAGTTACAGCGCATCGGCACAAAAAATCAAGCATCTCAGTCGCCGGTGGAGCAGTCGCAGGGGTCCTTCAACAACCAGAGCGTGGCCTGCAATTCTACAGCTCTGGCAAACGACACAGCCTGCAAACGTGTTCTGCCCAAGAAGCGAGGCCCGAAAACAGTTGCTTCTGTGACCAGCTCGGAGCAGACTTCGATCATCGACCTGGACAGCACGCAGGATAGTCTGGATAAAAAGGAACTAGCGACAAACGGCGAAGCAGATTGCACGGCTGTGACCTCCACCACTGCTGAACTGAAGACCCCGCCGCCACTAAAGATCACCAAGCAAGGCATCTTGCTGCACAGCCCCACGAGCGAGGCAAGCTCCGGCGGTGCCTACACTCTGACCGAGCAGGGACTCGGCCGGATTATTGGCGAGCGCTTGGCTAGCAAGTACATCAAGTATCACATTGGCAGCAAGAGCTTCGATAGCAGCCACTCGGTTTATTACAAGCCCACTCCGAAGATGACCGCCGTCATCAGAGCCCAAAACGATCCCCAGACAATGTCCAACATCGAGCTCGATTGCAGTTCCAGTGACAGCGATGATGACATATTCGAAAACATCGAGCGATATGGATTGGTTTACAGTGTTCTGGAGAAGAACTAGTTAGGCTCTGTGTCAGATACAGGATTCTATCCTTTAAGTTGAATAATAATTTCGTTTGTATTTTTGAGTTTTGGTTTATTTCACGTAAATTCCATGTCGATAGTGATAATAGAAAAACATAATCGTTTCAAAACATTTCGTAATCACCATAAATTTGTATGCTTAAGTATTCAATAATTGTTTAAGAGATTTATTCGCATTGTAATTGAAATTCTTCTGGTGTGTCAAAGTGGTGTTTAAGTTCTCATTTCTCTGCCTCTGCATATGTCCATATTAGTTTATCCAAAATTTCGTATTGGCTATTGTTAAATTTATCGTATATTCGAAAATATCAAGCGATATGGATTGGTTCTGGAGAAGAACTAGTTAGGCTCTGTGTTAGACACAGGATTTTATACCTTAAGTTGAATAATAATTTCGTTTGTATTTTTGAGTTTAGATTTATTTCACGTAAATTACATTTCGATAGTGATAATAGAAAAACATAATACGTCATAATTATTGTAATCATCATAAATTTGTATGCTTAAGTATTAAATAATTGTTTAAGAGATTTATTCGCATTGTAATTGAAATTCTTCTGGTGTGTCAAAGTGGTGTTTAAGTTCTCATATCTCTGCCTCTGCATATGTCCATATTAGTTTATCCAAAATTTCGTATTGGCTATTGTTAAATTTATCGTATATTCACAAGAAAAACAAAATAAAATAACTCCTCAATAGATAAGATGTGAAAAAATGGCGCGTCTTCCCTTCTCATGTATATGTATGTACAAATAACAAAAAAACTTACCTAAAGAACGCTGATAATGAATCAAAAGGTTTAAGGATTAAAATTAAAACAAAAATTATCGGTTAAGTGATGAGAAAATAAAAAACAGAAATTAAAACACACGACTTTCAACCCTGGAACATGCGCGCCCACACACATACACATGCGAAGCATATATCTACACGTGACTATATCCTCGTATTTATCTCCCTCCTCCTCCGCCTACACATCGATCTGGAATGGGGAGCCGGGTATGTGCTCCTCGCCCCACTTGATCAGCAGCACGTACTGGCCACGATCGCGCACCAGGTACTGCACGTTGTAGTTGTTGTGGCCGGCGTGCTTAACGTGGAACTCCTCGCAAGGACCCCTTGGTCCGTACATGCCCACGTACAAGATGTTGTTGCCTGTAGAAAAGAATAGGGATGTAATCCAAAGGGACTGGGTCAAGATCTTTCAGAAAACTTACCCGCATCTGTGGCCGAGATGCTGAACTGGTTCTGCTTGCCAATGTAGGCCTTCTTCAGGCCCATGCCCTTGGACACCACCTTGCTGGCATCAGACTTGAAGGTGGGCAGATGGACGCCAGTGTTCTTGCCGCCCTTGGCCACCTTCTGGACCGTCTCCACAATGACAGTCGACGTCTCCTGGGCACCCTCGTCCGCCAGCTTGTCGCCGGTGGCGTTCACCTTGAAGGGTGATCCCACGATATGCATGTTGTTGTACTTCACGGTGATGTAGTGCTCGCCCGGAAGCAGTGGGGTGTACCGCACCTTGTAGCCCTCCTCCACTTCCGTGCAGTCCATGGCCACCTTTGAGGGTCCATCAATGGAAACGGCTAGAGTGCCTACGCCAGCGTTGCAGGTATTAATGATGAAGTCGGCCTTGTGTCCGGTCTTCACCTCGTCCAGACCGTTGCCGGTGGCGTGGACAGCAGCCGGATCGGCCACATCCTTGCCCACCTTGATTCTGAACGGCGAGTCCGGAATGTGGACGCCGTTAAACTTGACGTGGATGGCATGGATACCGTTCTCGCGAGGATAGAAGCGCACCGAGTACATCTCTCCGTCGATTACCTGGATGAAGCAATCGTCATCCGTGCCGGAAGGAGCCACGATCTTGGCATCCAGCTCGCCCTTGGCGCCGTTCTTGCGCACCATGAACTGGTAGGGGGCGTCCGCCTGGATGTTGCCCTGCGGGAACTGCTGAACCTCCAGCTTGTGGGCATCACCGGCGTCCGGCGAAACGTAGACCTTGAACGGTGAGTCGGGGATGTGGCGGTCGTTGAACTTCAGACCCACACGGTACTCGCCTGGCTCGGTAACCTTGTACGAGACATCGCAGCTGCCGTCCTTGCGGTCCTTGAACTCAATATCGGCCTTGCTGGGGCCCTCAACGGAGATGGCCAGGGAGCCACCGCCAGCCTCGCGGGTCCACACATTGAATTCCGCCGCCTCGCCGACAACGCCGCGCTCCAGACCAGAACCACCGGCCTTGACCAAATGGCTGCCAGAGTCGCGCAGCGGTCCAACCGTGAACTGGAAGGGCGAGCCGGGTATGTGCATCTCAGAGTAGCGCACAGAGACGGTGTGCACGCCCAGTTCCTTGGGCACAAAGTGCACCGAGTAGAGGCCATCCTCCACCTCCTGAATCTCGGCATCCTCAGTCACGTTGCTGGGCGAGGTGACGCAGGCGGCCAAGTCGAAGGACGTGATGCCGGGCATCTTGAAGGTCAGCTTGCACTGGCTGCCGATTTCCGTGATGGGGACGGCATCGCGCTCACGCTGGATCTTCTCGCGCTTGCGGTTGCTGCCCTCGCCCGACACCTTGACGGTGAAGGGGGATCCCTCCACGTGGTGATCCGCGAACTTCAGGTTGACAATGTAGTAACCTGGCTCCGTGGGCTTGTAGGAGATGTTCAGGGTGCCATCGTCCTTGTCCGTGCACTGGATCTCAGCTTTGCTGGGACCCTCGATCGAGACGGAGAGACCACCGAAACCGGCGTTGCGGGTGTCCACGGAGAAGATGTTGTCGGCATGGGTTTGACCCTCCTTCAGGCCGTTACCGGTGACCTTGACCTTCTTGGCATCGCCCACCTCGCGCTCACACACGGTGACCTTGAAGGGAGAGTTGTTGATGTGCTTTCCCAGGCGCTTAACCGACACCAAGTGCTCGCCGATCTCGCGGGGAGTGAACGAGATGCCAATGTTGCCGGTGGGCATGCGCTTCAGGAAGCATGGCTCCTCCAGGCCGCTGGGAGCCTGGATGGAAGCGTTCAGGGCGCGCAGATCATCGTCGGTGATGTCGCCGGGCATGGTCACCTCGGAGCAGGAACCAACCGAGATCTGGTTACGCTTGCGTCCCTCACCAGTGATCTTGGCAAAGTAGGGCGATCCCTTGATGTGCTTGTCGCCGAAGCGAACCGACACCTGGTACTCGCCGGGGGCAGTGGGCAGGTATTGCACGGACACGGTGCCATCTTTGTTATCATGGTAGTTAATCTAATAAAATAATTTTAAATATAAAACCTAATGTTTAAATCCTATTATTTATAAATAACACTCACGTCCGCCTTGCTGGGTCCTTCGACGGCCATGGTCAGGCCACCGGCGCTGGCTCCCTTGGTGGAGATGGTGAAGTTGGCCGGCTCGCCGGTCACACCGTGGGTCAAACCAGGTCCGTAGGCAGTCACATAGCCGGAGGTGATCGAGTCAACATGGAATTTGAAGGGAGATCCTGCCCAGAAAACCATTAATCAGAAATTTTTCTAAACTGCCATGTTTTGAATTATCAACCCCTTACCTTGGACGGGTTCTCCATTGTATTTGACCACCAGCTCGTGGGATCCCTCCTCACGGGGATCGTACTTGACCGAGACGGTACCGTCACGGTTGTCCTGGATAACGGGTTTGTCTACCTTACCGCTTGGCATTCTGACTTCAGCTAAAGGGAAAAACAAGAATTGTGGGGTTTTTATAAGATTTGATATCTAAAATATTTGTTTTTGATGAACCAAGACATTCTGCTTTTATCGTTGGGTTATAAAAGTTTATAAATATTTATAAAAAAAAAACATAAATAGATTCAAAACAACAATTTATATGTTGGGAAAAATAATTTCACAACATTTGGAATATAAATCTGAAACTTTCTATTTTATTTTAATTTTTAATTTCAAACTCTTTCTATTGTTCAACTGCCATACTGCCTGCTTTTATGGTACAGTTCTTCCTAAAAATAAAAGTTGGACAGAAGAACTCTATTTTGGAAATTCTTTTAATGGATGTGTTTTGTATTCACTGAATTATGTCACCATCGCATTTTTTCAAATAATTTGCGTGGGCAAAGACCACAAGTTTGAAAAAATCATAATTTCATTTTTATGTTCGAATTTGCGAGCCATTTTTTATTCCACAAAATCTATTTCTGTTCTTTGCACAGTTCTTTTTCAAATCGAAATCAAAGACTATGATTTTGTTCTTGTATTGGACCAAGAAAGTTAATTAATTGGAACAAATGTTCTTTGACATCCAAAGCATTCCAAAGTTTTCAAGTTTTCCAACAGGATATCACATAACTAAAATGGCATTTAAATTCACAATCAAACCGACTAAATTATAGTTTATTTCACAATACTCGACATACTTTTCCTCTTCTAGAGAGACACACCCACAAATATATGTATGGAAAAGTTCTTGGGATGGTATGGGACAAGAGTGTCCTTTATAGTTCTTGGTTCTTTTATCACTTGGGGGACCCGGAGTCCTGATCACTTCTCAACTGAACGAATGCTGTGCATCGACTGAGTGGCTAGTAATATTGTGGCTTTCCAAAGAAATTTCAACCAACGCCTACAATTGCTTTTATACTTTCCCACGCCGTCAGGCAAGAAAAATAAAAACAACACCATTCCCGAGCTGCGTTGAGGTCAAATATAGGACACACTTTTTATGTTCCCAACTCACATATGTGGATGGTCCACATAGAATCGTATATAGGAACACACCTATATACCCATCGCACAACCCTCGCCCAAAGTATATGTCACAAAATGCATAAAAATCTATTTATACTCCGATATCTGGCTATATGCTGGAAAGATCGAAGCCAAAAGACTTTATCGTGCACGTGTCTGATTTTATATTTAATTCACGATATTTATAAATTCGGGAAGAGGTATTATATATTCATATTTTGGATACACACAGGCATTCCTTTGATACTCAGGCCTGTCAAAACAGTATATCCTATGTATATACTACGCTGGGGATCATTAGTTAAAAACAGAAATACTTTTGTTGGAAAAGTAGCAGAAAATATAGCACTAATTTATTGACGGAGGG